AGGACTTAATTGTAATTGGGTCTTTTTCATAGTGGAGGGGGGGGGGGTGGCCGAATGGTTAGCACCTGCACGCTGTATCATAAGGCCTGTCATTGAGGCAACTGGCGTGGTTTCGAATCCCTGGTTGTACGAGACAAGGAGTAGGGTCGCCTGTCCAACCTTGTGGGTTTTCTCCGGGTCCTCCAGTTTCCTCCCACTGCTAAAGACCCCTACGTGCAAGCGAATTATTGAAATAAAATTAAACCATATGTTAGTCCTGAAATGACCTAGTTTGTGTCGAGTAGACGTTAAACGCCATTTCTCTCCCTCTCTTTTCATAGTGGAGGGGGTTGGATTGCCGAATGGTTTGATACGTGCACATTAGATCATAAGGTCTGTCATTGAGTCAAGTGGTGCGGTTTCAATTCCAGGCTTGTAAGTGACAAGGAGGAGGTTCACCTGTGAAACCTCAAGTGTACCCTCTTGGTCAGCGGGTTTCCTCCCACAGCTAAAGACCCCTACAAGCAAGCGAATTATTGAAATGAAATTGAACCATATGTTAGTCCTGAAATCACCCAGTTTGTGTAGAGTGGACTTTAAACTCCATTTCTCTCTCTCTTTTCATAGTGTAATGATTTTGTCATTCTGTACTTGATTTTAAAAGGGTTGATCCAGACAAACAATAAAGGGATATGTCATATGAATGTCCAATGTTTCCGCTGTTCAATCTGACAATTGAAGGCTGGGCTTGGGAAATCCTAAAGAGAATCGATTTCAGTGTATGTCAAACTGGCCAGAAAAATACTTTATCAAAACTAAACGAAATGGCTCTCGAGATAGAGTTTTCATCAGTCAAAATCGAATAAAAAAAACGACACAACTTCTTACTCTAAATTTTCTTTGCGAATGTTTGTCAACCTATTATGGATCTATTATTGATTGTGATAGTATCAGTCTAGACTGAAGTAACTTAATCTTTTAAACATGAAACAATCACTCTCATTCCATCTGTAACTCATCCCTTATTTACTCACTTTCTTTCACTCGCTCATTTTTATAGGCCCACATTTAATGTCTTTATTGCCTTTACCTACCGCCTCTTGTTTGTGGGAACCACGGTGGCTCAGTGGGTAGGATGCCTGTTCACTGATCAGGAGATCTCTGTACGTTGACAAAGATAGTTCATAAGGCTCTTTCAGCATGGTATATCCTTGTCAGTGGTGTATGAATAAGGGTCTGGCAAGGAATATGTAGTAGGTGGAACAGGCACTGCCAGGGCTAAATTTCCCTTATAGCACATTGCATGGTGTATGTGTGTCTTTCTTATGTAAGGGAATTATGATTTTTGTGGAAAGAGATTTCATTAAGAGGTTTATGGTTTCCAGAATTGGTGTAATGTATAACTCTATTAATTAGGGTATTAGTTGTATAATTAACTAATTAATATTTATATTGTTGGATCTCATGTAACCTAGATACTATCAGAATGTCGCATTCCATTGAAATGTCAAACAGCAAAATACAACCAATACTTAACCTCATTGATCTCCAGGGGGGTTGGATGGCTGAATGGTTTCGATTCCCTGATTGTACGTGACAAGGAGTAGGGTCACCTGTTCAACCTCGTTGGCTTTCTCCAGGTCCTCTGGTTTCCTCCCACTGCTAAAGATGAATTATTGAAATAAAATTCAACCATATGTTAGTCCCAAAATGACCTAGTTTGTGTCGAGTGGATGTTAAACCCCTCTCTCTCTTTCTCTCTCTCTCTGATCTCTATTTGTATTTCAATGCGGAGCAGCCATGGTTCAGTGAGTGACATTGGCTTTAGGTCCTGTATTCAATCCTGGTGCTGGCTAACAAAGTTCATATGGATTTTCTAGCGTAATTCCCAGTGGTGCAGGACTGAGGTCCTTGTAATGTGGTTCGGATGGTACGAAAAATAGACGTCCTGTGGCCTGCGCGTAACCCTTGACTGTTGCAATTCGATATAAGACTCGGCCATAGCCCCGCTGTCCAGTCAAACCTTTTTCCTAATAGCACACTGTATGGCGTATCCCCGTCTTGATAGTCCAGCCAGAGTAGGACGTTAAACTCAATTCCATTTTGTATTTCAGTGCTTAATCCACTAGACCCTTAAAAAATAAACCACAACATATAAGATGTAAACTGAGGCAATGCAATTGTTGTCTATTTTCTCACTCTTTATTGGAATAATTCCACAAAAATATGTCTAGACTGTGTATAATTAGTAAATAGACCTACTCACTATCTTCTTAACTTTATTAAAAATAATCAATTATAATCTGTAATAAGAAAACTAAACTATACAGACATAGCAATGAAAAAAAAATTATAATCAGTGCTTTGTGAAATGAAATTAAGTGGGTTTTAACTTCCTACTTCTCTGGGCCGTCTAGTGAATGAAGACACAGATCACACAGTCTGTTTTGTGAACCAGATAAGGAATTATAATTTTCTCAGTGTTTTGTGAACTATATTATGAATATTTGTAGTATGATAAATAGTAAATTATGATTTGTAGTATAAATGATGAATTATAATTTGCTCTGTTTTTTTGGGAACTATATTATAATTAAGTAATGAATTCTAATTTGTCATATAAATAATGAACTATAATTTGTAATATATAAATAATAAATTATTTTCCTAGTATAATAATAAATTATAATTTCTAGTAAAATTATAATTTGTAGGATAATAATGAATTATAATTTCTAGTAAAATAATAAATTATAATTTGTAGTATAATAATGAATTATAATATGTAGTAAAATAATGAATTATAATATGTAGTATGATAATGCATTATAATTTGTAGTATGATAATGAATTATAATTTGTAGTAAAATAATGAATTATAATTTGTAGTATAATAATGAATTATAATATGTAGCATGATAATGCATTATAATTTGTAGTATAATAATAAATTATAATTTGTAGTATGATAATGAATTATAATTTGTAGTATAATAATGAATTATAATATGTAGTAAAATAATGAATTATAATTTGTATTAAAATAATGAATTATAATATGTAGTATGATAATGAATTATAATTTGTAGTATAATAATAAATTATAATTTGTAGTATGATAATGAATTATAATTTGTAGTATAATAATAAATTATAATTTGTAGTATGATAATGAATTAGAATTTCTAGTATAATGATGAATTATAATTTGTAGTGTAATAATGAATTATAATTTCCAGTTTAAATAATGAATTATAATTTCTAGTATAAAGATTAAACAGTATGGACTAGACAATGAATAAATTATAATCTTGGAGGGAAAAAAACAAGGACTCATGAAGAATTCATCTCATCTGATAACTGAAATTAATCTGAAAATTTGTCTCCTGACATTTTATTTAAAAAAAAGTGTTTGCTGGCTATTACTATTATACTATAATATAATAATGTGGTGTAAAAATGAGAATTTAATGTATTATTAACGTCTTTCGTTCGATTCTGTGAGGTGCGTGATGAGTTCTGTTCTTACATCTATCTCCACCGGGATATCATTTCTGATACTTGGATATATAGCTAGAGTGAAAATTGATTTGCTGTTCAGTGGAACTATTACATTTTTGTACAAAATGAAATGAAATGAAATGGGGTTTAACGTCCTACTGTTCTGCTCCTATACCGGGCTATTGAAGATGGGTATACGCCATACAGTGTGCTATGAGGGAAATTTTGCCTGGGCAGCGGCACTATCGCCTACTCTTATATCAAATTCCAACTGCCAAGGGATCTTTTACGTGCATTCCAATGTATACACGGGACCTCGGTTTTTTGTCTCATCCGAAGGACTAGACAGCTGTCCTTGTCAGACCCTCCGTTCTGAACCACTGACAAGGGGAAATTTTTATACAACACAGACTAAATCATACATTGGCTAACAACAAAACATGTGCTATGAACATAAAGGCTTTACATCAAAATATGACTCAAATGTCAATCATCTGCACATGACCAAAAAAAAAAAAAAAAATACATTGGCCAACAAAATATTAACAAATATCAAACAATTACACACAAAATTAAAATATGACTCAAATATCAATTATTTACACATGACAAAAAAAACCCCATACATTGACCAACAAAATATTAACAAATATCAAACAATTACATGTACACACAAAAAATCATACATCGGCCAACAAAATATTAACAAATATCAATCAAATACAAACAAAATCATAAATTGGCCAACCAAACATTAACAAATATCAATCAAATGCACACAAAAATCATACATTGGCTGGCAAAATATTAACAAATATCAATCAATTACAGACAAAAATCATTCATTGGCTGACAAAATATTAACAAATATCAATCAAATACACACAAAAATCATACATTAACTAACAAAATATTAACAGATATCAATCAAATACACACAAAAATCATACATTGATTAACAAATATCAATCAAATACACACAAAAATCATACATTGGCTAACAAAATATTAACAAATATCAAATACACACAAAAATATACATTGGCTAACAAAATATTAACAAATATCAATCATTTACACAAAATAAAAAGATACATTCATGCAACCGATAACCCAAACAGCAAATTATCAGTTATGTTTTTTGAAAATTACTTCATGGATTGTTGTCCTTGATCAGTTTTAGTTTCTTTTGAGTACTCCCTACAAAAAATAGAAACGTTGCAAACTTAATGGAGCACTTGGACAATTTAGGTGCTGTGAGCATATGTTTTGTCACCTGCCAACATATCTTCAAAATTTTACAATGAGGTTATTTTTTACAAAACCCCTCACAGAATTGACTAGAAATGTTTTTGTTTTTTTTATGATTCTATTTTTTTTGTATGTCCATTTTTAGAAACGGCTTTCATTTAACAGAATTAATGGGACATTGCCTGATTTCCATGGTTTCAGAATTTCAGACATTATTTCCAGCAGTAATATACTCATTAAATTTATTTTTGGACGTTTTTTTATTTCAGTGCATGTACCAACTGGTAATCGAAGCTCCGTTCATGTCAACCAGTGAATTGGATAATGTCTCGTCTCTGTGTTTCCGAGCGTTAGACGGATCAAATTATGACGTAAGATGCGCTGTTGCTAAATTACTGGGCAATTTAATGGCTGTGGCTCAGGCGCCGAAAGCTAAATCAAGTAAGCTCTATAAAAATTACTTTTATATTGAAAGGGTTATAAATTACTCATTCCATTCAATGAGATTATAAAAGCTCTTTCCCACTACTATCACCTTTTTAAAACCAATAAGATAAAACCTTTCACTTGCCTTACATAAGTTTGTTATACATTATTTATCTGTAAACGCACAAATGGAATATACTTTGAAATTATAAAAATGTAATTTGATGTTTTTCAAAGAATTCTTCCTGTTTTTCTCCTAAATCTGGCAAAACATGTTTTTGGCATTTTAGAAAATAGATCTTTATTTTTTAGAAACATGGGATGTTTCAACCCTGATTCCCACTTGTCAGGGGTAGCACCTGCTGGACTGACAAGTAATGTGTTGCCGCGTTGTTCTAATGCTACAATAAAAAAAAAAGAGATCTCCCATTTAGCTCGGCTTGAGAACAGTCACTAAGCTAATTGACCAACATTTTAATTCCCAATTCGACGGTTTTAGTCAAAAACAATTAAGTATACTTCTAGAAGTTTGAAAAGTATTTATTCCACTTCCGTTTAATAAAATTGAGAAGGTTTATTTAGTCGTTTTGCATATGATACATGTGAAACAGAGAAGAAGCCCATTACAAAATATTGTACTAATTTTGGGATATGGCGGCTATTAAGGTCAGAGGTCTATCCTGGAAGTAGATAGCTCTAAGTGTACAGAATTGATATTACCCTCCCTTGCATGGCACACGTCATGACCATTGAAAACTGTCTAGGTCTCATAATGAGTGATGTTTTGTGGTGACAAGACGACAAGACATTACTCTTCCTTGCATTGCACATATGACCATAGAAAACTATCTAGGTCTCAAAATGAATGAAGTTTTCTGGTGAAAAGACGCCCTCCCTCGCATTGCACGACAAGATATTACCCTCCATGCATTGCACCAACAACACTAAGACAATGAATATGATTACAAATATTGTATTGACAAGTTACACGCAAGCAAAATATTGAAATAAAATTGAACCATGTGTTAGTCCCCAAATGACCAAGTTTGTGTCGAGTGGACGTTAAACCCCATTACTCTCTCTCTCTCTCTCCTATCCTAGTCTTTATTTTAAGTTTATACTGATATATATACTGATATTGGACTGCATGTTAAATATTTGAACAACTGAGAATTCATTGAGTCGTGGTAAAGTTTCATTATTCCCAGGAGTAATCATGGAATCAGATGATGATTACAAACTCACCTCTGTGTGGCCTTGTATTGTGTTCCCACAAATACCAATATATCATTGCCATGTGTCTGAATTCAGTTAAGTACCTTAAATTTTAAAGAGGCGACCTGACAAGGCCAGTAATACATTTCACATCTCAGATGCTTTAGGAAATTTGTATTTTGGGTGGAAAGTAAAATCATCACATATTGTCTTTGTCTGAATGCAGCAATTCTGTAATCCACATAAGACAGTGTGTTGATTCTCATGACAATATGCGGAGCCACAGTGGCTCAGTGAGTAAGACATTGGCTCGCTAACCAGGAGATCTCTGGTTTGCTCCGGTGTTGGCCGAGAAAGTTCCTCTGGATTTCAGTGGTGCAGGACAGAGGGCCCAGCAAGGACAGTATCTAGTGATTTGGCTGAAAAGTCCTGTCCGCATGCACATAAAAGAACCCTTGACAGTTGGAATTCAAAATAAGTGTAGGTTGTAGCACTATTTTCCCGGCAAATTGTCCTCAGAACACACTGTATGGCGTACAGTCGGTGCAGAAAAATATAACGTTGAGTTAAACCTGATTTGTGACAATATGCAGTGCCACCTTATGGATTAATCCTTTTCATCTACTTTCACAAATTTCAATTGACAAATATCAATGCCAAGATGGTATTTAACCTATGTTTTTTGTACTTCTAGTGGTCTAAATTACCAACACCAACATCTTTCAGTCGTTTTTAAACAAGGATATTGTTTCTTGGCATTGTCTCTTTAAACATGGAAATCGTTTATTGGCATGGAAATCGTTTATTGGCATTGTCTCTTTAAACAAGGAGGGGGGTTGGATGGCCGAATGGTTAGCACGCGCGCGCTGTATCATACGGTCTGTCATTGAGTCAACTGGCGGGGTTTCGATTCCCCCGTTGTACGTGACAAGGAGTAGGGTTGCCTGTCCAACCTCGTGGGTTTTCTCCGGGGTCCTCCGGTTTCCTCCCACAGCTAAAGACCCCTACGCGCAAGCGAATTATTGAAATAAAATTGAACCATGTGTTAGTCCCGAAATGACCAAGTTTGTGTCGCGTGGACGTTAAACCCCATTTCTCTCTCTCTCTCTTTAAACAAGGAAATTGTTTATTGGCATTGTCTCTTTAATTTTAAAGAACTGACTTCAGATCAAATGAAACATAACTAACATATATCAGTCTCAGTTATGGAGATTTTTCACCACCAGGTAATTTCTAGATGAATTAAATTGAGACCCAGGTCATCTGTAGAGGATAATCATTAATTGCATTTATTGTAGATAAACTGAAACCTGCCAAGATTGATGATGTTTTAAATATATTGGCGTCTGGCTTTTTAAAAGGAGGAATTGGTTTTATGAAGAATTCGGCAGCAGGGGACTTAATCAAAGGAAGTGCAAATATAAATCGTGAAATTCGAGTCGGCGTAACTCATGTAAGTTTATTCGTATTATTAAAGCTGACCACGTCACTTGGTCTTTTGAATTTTATTAAAGAGACATTATCACTCACACCAAATTGATTTTTATTATCACCCGTCCGTTTGTCTGTCATTCTGCAGACCACGTTTATCATCTAACCTTTTTCAAAATTATATATGCTTTTAACATTAGTGAGACAAAGAAGTCTCTTGAATTTCAATGATTTTTGGTAAGAGTTATTGCTCTTGATCACTATGATCAAACAACAAAAGTTATCATCCAATCTGTTCGAGATTGATATGATTTATTCAAATTAGTGTTGGGGGGGGGGCGCGAATATGGTTAGCATGTGCGCGCTGTATCATAAGGTCTGTCATTGAGTCAACTGGCAGTGTTTCGATCCTAGTTGTACGCGACAAGGAGTAGAGTCGCCTGAGCAAAGTCTCTTGGGCTTTCTCCGGGTCCCCCAGTTTTCTCCCACTGCTAAAGACCCCTACGCACAAGGGATATATTGAGATAAAACTAAACCATATGTTAGTCCCGAAATGACCTAGTTTGTGTCAAGCGGACGTTAAACCCCATTTCTATCTATCTATCCAAATTAGTGAGATGCCAAAGCCTTTCAAATTTCTACAAATCTGACAAAGATGACTGAAATTAGAGCCCTGCCCAATTCTAGCAACAATAAATCTTGTATAAGTCTCTACTGTATAGAAGTAGTTGTACATGTATTTTGTTCCTTGAAGAAAAAACACAATTTTAATTGGGTTCTGTTACTTAAAGATACATTATGGGAGATTAGGTAGAGAGCTGGCAGTTCTCACTATAATAGTTAAAAACTAGATAATGTAAAGGCAATTTGCTGAAAATTTCAGTCAAATTGATCCACTATGAACCCGAGAATTAAGTGGTACAATAAAAAACATAGTCTTGATTATCCATTTAATCGTTAAATCGAGAAGGAAAGTTCTGCAGCAAATCGGATCATAATCCAACAAATATCGCAGGCTAGCGTTGACATCGAGAGTTGATTATGGTCTGGATAAGTTAATTAATCTCTAATTAATAGTTTACATAACATTTCAGGCCTAAAGAAAGCCCTACAATTGGCAGATTTAGCTCTTGCATAATGTATGTTTAAGTTGCATGCACTTTTAAAACTGCTGAATTTGATGTACTTATTTGTACTCATATGTTGAATAAAAAGCAAAGAAATATATAAATACTTGCAACTGACATACACAGAACAACCAATACTACAGTCTACAGTAAAAGAAAGAAAAACTTGTTTAAATTCCAACACAATATCTCATACTGTTTGTTGGGAGGAAGTGCCAAAATATATCTAATCAAAACTTATTTTGACTGCACTAATAACCTCATAATTTCTGTTCAAACAAGAAATTAGACAACACCTGCATTTAATTGATATTTATGATAAAAACAACCTGAAATACTACAGATGTTTTTGCCTATTTACCGCATAAGACTATTTGCTAACAGGCTGGGGTAATCGAGTGGTTAGGACCCCTCTTTAGCTGAGGGGAAGAGTGAGGTGGGGTAGGGTAGGGGTGTGTGTGTGTGGTACATGTAGAATGTGCATCTCTTTTTAGCTAAAGGGTAGGGGTTATTTAGGGGGTGCATAGTAGTCAAGCAGAGGGGACAAAGGACTAAAATGTCAAGGATTTGAATATGCACATCTCTTTAGCTATGGTTATACATGAAATATTTAAAATTGTATTTTGATATCAGCTTTGGTAGCAGATTGAAACTAACCCACCCAATTACAGAATGTCAAATAGGTTAATAGAGAAATATCAATATTTACAAACATTTTGCGATGTGTTGAATTTGTAAATAAGCTGCAGTGCCGTATTTTTTGTTGCCTGGCAGTCAATCTTTAAAGCATTAATTTTGAGATAATAATTTTAAAAAGCTAAAGCTGACAAAATATCAAGTATTATTGATGATGGGCAGTGGAAAATTTATGCCAGAATGAGCTTAAATTTTTGCCTGACATTGGTTGTTACAAGTGGCTTATTTCCTTTTGTTGAGATAATTACTAAAGCTTCAATAATTTTTGCCTGACATTGTTTGTTGAGATAATTAGTAAAGGTTCAATAATTTTTGCCTGACATTGTTTGTTGAGATAATTACTAAAGCTTCAATAATTTTAGTTCTAAAATGTTGATCTTTATAAACAATCATACAGTGTTCAACCTTCAACAAAAATGCACAGTGTATATAGCCCTTAATAAAATAATATTAATGATTTTAATTGTAATATGTAGAAAGTTCTGCATAAAAGGCTGGTGTGTATACATGCAGCCTTAGTAATTACTAAAATATTAATAATTATGAAGCGTTATATAAATCGAACAATAATAATAATAAAGAATCATAAAGTGTTGAAGTTAAGAAACGCAGCATTAAACAAAAAAGCACAGTGTGTATGTATAGCCCTTATAAAATATTAATAATTTTGAAGAATCATATAGTGTGGAAATAGAGATATTCAATATGCAACCTAAAAGCTAGGTGTATATAGCCCTCTGTCTTGACTAAAATATGAATATTTATCAACAGTCATACAACAGAGTGTATATAGCCCTTAGTCTTAATCATGTCTTTAATGTTTTTGTTTGACACTTGCTGCTGTTACATATATCAGTTAAAAAGACCTTGCAAATACTTGTACGGTATCTAGGCATAGGTCCAACTTTACCCATAAAAAGTATCGAGGAGCGGTTAAATTTCTTGTAGTTTGCCAGAATACACAATTAAAGATTGGATGTGTGAAAGAGGGTAGCGATGGTAAAGTTATATCTGATGGCCTTAGCTAGACACCTAAAATAACAAACATGTCATAAACACACATTCTCCTTTCACAGTATAATACATGATAAATACACACATATCTTAAACATACATTCTCCTTTCACAGTATAATACATGATACAATTTTAACACCTAGGTTCCTAATACAAGGGTAAATGATTTTTACAGCTGGAGGGGATTGAGTGGTCAAATAGTTTAACGTGTAGTCTTTAGAACATAAAATTTGTCAATGAGTCAAGTCGCATGATTTTTTTCCCTGCTTGCATGTCCAGCCTTATGGGTTTTCTCATTGTACTCTGGTTTCCTCCCATTGCTAAAGACCCCAGAACGCAAGCAATTTATCGAAATGAAATTTAACCATATGTTAGTCACGAAATCTGAATTGACCTACTGTAGTTTGTGATCACTGATATGAGTGGATATTATACCCAATCTCTCCCTGTCTCTCTCTCTATTTTACTGTAAATCCATATCAATCACTTGTTGAATTCTACCATTGCTGTCATCTTGCAAAAACGAAAGTTAATCGTTTTTATAATGGATTATAATCGCATTGCTGTCCAAGTTAGTTAGCTCATTTGAGCGAAATGGCACCTGTTTTTTGGTTCGGGGAAGCCACCTGGAGGTCCTGTGATCTAGAGAGTTAATTATAGGCTGGTCATGTGAATAAATGTCTAAATAATAATTTAATATAATATTTGAAGCCAGAAAAAAAAAAAAAACATGCAATAGACAGATTTAGCTCTTACATAATGCATCTCTACGTTGTCGTTTAGGAAATTGAATGGTACAGAGCTTGCTTTATTATCACCGATGGCAATAACACATCAGATTAACGACTTCAAGACTTTGAAAGAGTTATCCTGCCTTTAAGCTCTGATCCATTCCACTTGTATACCTCTATAACATGATCACATGATTGTATAAATAGCAAACAGTCAAGCACTAGTGCACAGTTGTGCAACAGATAATTGGAATTCTTTCTCACAGAATACTCCAGCCTAACCAAACCCAAGACAGATGGAAATAACATTACTCACTGAATTTGACCCAGTCAGGCATTTCTCCTTATCGCTAATATAACTTGATTCCAATGTCACTTCAATTTTACTTGCATCTGCATTATAGATGCCATAAACCAGCTGGACCATAAATATTTGTAAATTGGTCCTTAAATTATTCATTTAAATAAATCCAAATGGAAATAAATGATAATGGGGTAACTTGTGCTGTTAATATTACAGAATTGTTATCCCGTGCCAGTCTTGACCGAAAAAGTTTGCTCAAGATTTTCTAATCAAGTTTTTCCATTGTAAGCAGTGGAGGATGGATAGCCTGGGTATGCTATTGACAGCACATTAAAAGATGCATTATTCAAGAGCCAAATCTACCTATTGCAGGTGTTTCTTTAGGCCTGAAATGTTATCTAAGTTATTAAATAGACATTTATTAAGATGACAATGCCATAGTCAACTCTCTAGACCATCAGATGTTCTTGATTTTTAACAGATTTAAAAATCGATTGGCAGTTAATGATTTAATTCAAAAATAGATAATCAAGATTTTTTTTACTATCACAACAACGGTAACCATGAAAATCAAGACTCTGTTATTCTTCACACAGTCCTAATGAAGTAATTTGACTGAAATTTTCAATATAATCTTAATGGCAGACTTTATGACTCGGTCATTCAATTCATTTCTCTTTAAATGCAAGTTTGTTAAAGATACATTCTCATGAAAATGTTTATAGGGTAGTTATTTTCTATAAAAGTATGGCAGATTTGGTATATATGGAAAGTAGAGCCGCCCAATCTTAATAGAAAAATACTGGATTCCCTAAAAACACCCATGTCAGGGTATCACTAACTGTCAGCCTGAAGTCTTATTGTCTGCCAGCTTGACTTAGGGAGCGGTTCTTGATCAAATGGTTAGGTGTTTTTTGGAACATTGAGGGATTTAATTGTACAGTAGACTCTGCAATTAAACGGTGGAATTTAGTTAAGCTTCAATATGTACATGTACGGTAAATGGATAGTAAGTAACAACAAATACATTCGGAAAATAGGCCCCCCCCCTTCAATTAAGTAACCTGACAAACATGGCTTCTAAAAATAGATTTTTTTTATATCTTGGGGTATTTCCTAGTGAATACAATATTTTGAAAGGGATTTGAAGCAAACATTTGTCTGATAGATAAATTAGTTGAATATGTATTTAATCCATATATATTACCAAATCACACTGTTTGTACATGAGAAGGCATCTTTAATGAGAATAAACCATCTATTTTTACTCCACTTTGTAATATATTTTGAGTGTTAATTACAGTGTCTACATCCTACAATAATTACAATAAAACCATTTCCTGTCTTCCTGACTTTTTGCAACAGAAAATGTTTGTTTTGGTATCAAGTTTCAGTAGCTAGTCAAATTCAGCATAATTTAAGATAAACCATATTCCTCGCAGATAAACATGTGTAGGTGTAAGACTGGTATATACATATCCTGAAACATTAACCTTTTTCTCTCATTTATTTAAATTAAAGATGCATTATGTAAGGGTAAACACTGCCTATTGCAGGTCTTCAAATGTTGTATAAACTATTATTTAGACATTATTTAGAAGAGATTTGATAATTTAATGATAAACTGGATAATCAGGACTCAGTCTTGATTGTCAAGTACTGATGCTAAGACAATAAACAGACTTGCTGTTTGCTATATCTCCAAACAGTTATAACTTCACTCAGAATAAAGTCATTTGAATGAAATTCTCAATATATTCATTTTTCATTGTCAAAGATCACTTGGCAGTTGGATTCAATATACCAGTAGGCAGCTGCCTGGGTAAAATTTCTCTCATAATGCACTGTATGGCATATGCATGTCTTATTAGCCCAGTTTAAGAGCAGAACAGTAGGACGTAAAACCCCATGGCTGTCTTCATTAGCCCAGTTTAAGAGCAGAACAGTAGGACGTAAAACCCCATGGCTGTCTTCATTAGCCCAGTTTAGGAGCAGAACAATAGGACGTTAAACCCCATTCCATTTTATTTCTCTTTCTCTTTTTAAATTAAAATGATAAACAGTCCTGACTGATGATGATATATTATTGTAGAAACTTTTATAGCCTTATCTTTCACACAGGTGTAATAAATTTATAAAATAAACAGAAGTTGTGCTGAAAACGATAAAATGATTTATATGAATGGAGTATTAAACATATAACAACAAGTCTGATTATTCAAATATATCTCAATAGTCAAAGATAATCTACGATTTTAATATAAAACTGTTAAAATTATCACATCTGAGTATAAAGAAAAACCCTTCATAAAGAATGGGTTGGCTTGTACAAAAAGATGGAATTATTGTTACTTTTTTTACCTGGCACATAAAGATGGTGGTGTGAAATCAATAGAAAGGAATGGAAAGTTTAATTGGCTACAACTGATGTTGACTGATACAAAAAAAATATGGAATTATTATTACTTTATTTACCTGGTAAATAAAGATAGCAGTGTGAAGTCGATAGAAAGGAATGGAAACTTTAATTGGCTACAACTGATGTTGACTGATACAAATAAAATATGGAATTATTATTACTTTATTTCACTGGTACATAAAGATGGCAGTGTAATATCAATAGAAAGGAATGGAAACTTTAATTGGCTATGCAACTGATGTTAGGATTAGTTCTGTTGACTTAAATTGTATTATGCAATTAAGCATTTCCATCCGCCGAGACCGGGTCCTCCGGTTTCCTCCCACTCCTAAAGACCCCTACGCGCAAAAGGAAATTATTGAAATAAAATTGAACCATATGTTGGTCCTCAAATGACCTAATTTGTGTCTAGTGGACGTTAAATCCCATTTCTTTCTCTCTACAATGTAAACTTTAACCTTGCCATAACTTGGCGTTAGGATTAGTTGATTTAAATAATTTTTGGACCAATGTGATTTGTGTATGGTTTTAACTCTATATTCAAACTTTATTCTGACAGGTTGAGTTGTACTTTAGGATGTAAAACAATCAGATCTGTATTTCGTTTTGTTTTTTTATACTATCGATGGCCTACACTACATGAAGATCTGACTGGTTGTAGTGATGTGGCTTTTGACCCTATGATGTCAGACATTTGATCAATCCATTCCATGCACCACACGCCAAAAGCTCGCTGTAACAGACCGTTTCATTGGCTAAACCCTCACATCTTAAAGAATGCGGGTTATATAACAACTCTTCTAGATCCTAGTGTAGTAAAGACAAGTACAGCGAAATTTTGAATTATATAAACGAAACGAAATAAGATCTGTTTTTTAATCAAATTGAATGTAAAATTGATTTAAAATCTAATACACATGCGAGTGGTTAACAGTTGTCTAATAAAAAAGTGTTAGCAATTATCTCATGATTTAACTTGATCATTCTATCAACGACTACGAAGGAAATCAAATTAGTTTGAGTGGCATTTATTAATTGAAGAGTAAAACACTAATACCTATATGGAATAGCAATTACTGATGGGTTATGATCATGCAACGTTTTGATGAGGTGCTCTTGTCTTTATCAAACACAGAAATTATGTTTGCAAATTGGTTTTGTTAAAATTTTAAAATAAATTTAGATAAAATTTTCAAAGTAAATTTAGATAAATTTTTCAGAATAAATTTTCATAAAATATATTTAGATAAAATTTTCATAGTAAATTTTCATAAAATTTTCAAAATACTATCTATTCTATATGACGTAATTAATCATTTAGCATCCATAAGACTTCCCTGTTTGAAATAAGGAGGACAAGTTTGCAAAGTCATCATTGTGTCCAGACATCGCATTGTTTCTGAAATGATACTCAATTGTTGGAATGGACTGTATTGTCAGTGTCATTATTTAAAATGAACTTTTGTCAATATTCATACGACTGCTATCCAAGGGCCTTAAAAACTTAAACTTAAACTAAAAAGTGAAATCGCCTAAAATGGACCAATGGAAAGGCCACACTTGGGAAATTTTTGTAGTTTTAAGTTATCATGACTAAATTAAGGCCCCAGACTACAAGTCAAGCAGGTCTTTAATTTCTAGTGGGTATGTAGTACATACTCTGTACACTGTAGTCTACTGCATCCATCGAACCTCGTGGGTTTTCTCCGGGTCCTCTGGTTTCCTCCCACTGCTAAAGACCCCTACGCACAAGCGAATTATTGAAATAAAATTTAACCATATGTTAGTCCCGAAATGAACTAGTTTGCGTCGAGTGGACGTTAAAACACATTTCTCTCTCTCTTTTTGTTGTGATAAATTTTTTATAATTGTGATTTATTTAATTTTTTTCAGGCATATGTAGAATTTATAAAGAGTATGGGTGGTTTATGGTTGGAGAGGAATATTACTGTGTTTTTAAATCATATATTTGAGCTGGTCGCCAATCCAAAAGCTACACCTACTCATGTTGATGCTGTGTACGCACGGAAGTGTGTGCTTTTCATCTTGAGATCAATCATAGGGGGCATGCTGGGGGAAAAGGCACAAATTGCTGCGGCTAAGGAGATTTGTCAGACCATCGTTAAACAAATGAATACAGTCGGTAAGAGACATTGATTGAATTATGAATAGGTCTATGTCACACATTTGTAGTCTAGTCGCCATTATCGTCTATAGAGAGAACTTAGTTGAGTGAGGTCATTTTTGATTAGATCTTAATACAGTGATTTCAAACACATTAGTTTTACTGTTGAATTACTGATACAGACATTTCTATATTGATAGTTCTGTATGTAACATGTCACGATTCATGTAAAATGGGGGTGGTGGATGGCCGATTGGTTAGCACGTGTGTGCTGTATCGTTGAGTCAACTGGCATGGTTTTGATTCCTCGGTTGTACGTGGCAAGGAGTAGGGTCGCCTGTCGAACCCCATGGGTTTTCTCCAGGGTCCTCCGGTTTCCTCCCACTGCTAAAGACCCCTATGTGCAAGCGAATTATTGAAATAAAATTGAACCATATGTTAGTTTTGAAATGACCTATTTCGTGTCTAGTGGACGTTAAACTCAATTTCCCTCCCTCCCTCATGTAAAATGAACTTTTCAAGATGGATATATGGAGGAATCGTCGCGAATATAATTGAATGAAAACTTTTGTAGGTGGACATATTGTTTAGAAATTGATTTCCAATAGAGCTTTACGTTCAATTGTCGTGAATCACATAGACGGTAAACGTTTGTAGTTGGACATAATGAGATTACGCATATTATCTACAAATTAATTTACTGTCAAGTTTTAGATACAAATCGTGAGTGACATAGAATGAAAACATGCTGGTACACATATTAAGACATAGATATTTAAGATATTTCTTTCACCTATTTCAAGGAAATAATACAATCATAAAATATGATTGATGGTTTAAAGATAGAGAGCGAGACATTAAGTAATTGAAAAAACACAACACAACTTTATTAAGTATTGTAATCATAACTCCAATTTGTCTTTGATTTTTACATTTAAACAGAATAGTATTTCTTGTCTTTGTTGTGGCTTCTAAATTTTTATACTTAAATGCTTACTCCCAGGTTTTTGTATCATATTATCGTTTTTACCCTGTCCTTGATAACGACAAGAGGACACTTGTTGAAACGTTGCACTATTAAAGTTGCTAGTGATTGTTATCCATAAAGTTGTGTTTTTTCAATGTTAGTCCTATCACTAAATGCCTTATAAACAATACAGTAAGTAATATATTGATAGTGTACGAGGACATTAGCCTGAGTGTTGTATCAATATATTATGCAAGGTCTTGCTGTAGACCATTAAACTTAAATTGCAGATACACTGTCCCGCATATGCATTTGTATAAAATCTTGCCATTATTTTGTTTAAATAATGTACAATCAGCATTTTGTCGGTACTGCTATTTGAGTATATGTGAAAAACAGTAACAACAACTTAATGATGGCCAATCAGTGACATCCCACTTATTATCTAAATGGGTTAGCATACCATGCCTCCATAACACTCACATCTTGATGTTGCTTAAAGATAAAGATTTAATTTCTATGTTGATTGTGTTTTAGGTGAAGCTACAGCTGATGCTGCAGATGGTAAAACAGCTAATGCTGATCTCACGGCTAGTCAGCACGTACTGGTCTGCGCTTTACATGAATTAGGTTGTCTCGTATTAAGATTGTGTAGTTCTGCTGGTCCTTTAGTTGCGGAACCAGCCACAGGTAATTAACATAATTTACATTTATTCATGGGACCGACAATTTTTTTCTATAATCCTTTAGAGATATGATTTTGCTTGGAGTTTCATTTATTGAGAGGGCATTGGCCAAGAAGAAACTTCTTGGTTCTTACTGTTGTGTTTCCTGGCTACTTATCTTTAAATTGTCCAAACTGATTTTTCACCACCTGAATTTGATATTAGGTTAGAAGTTGAATTCAAAGATACTTTATACATCACAACTTTAATTCTGGAATTCTGGAATGTAAATAACCGAACCCTGATTCTAATTCTGACCATTCCTACATTTTGTTTGGTTTAAAAAATCAATAGGATATTCCATACCAGCCTTATATGGTAATTATTTTCAAGACTGTGTCATTGGCATGTCATTTCCAGCAGACAAGAGTTGGAGATGTCACATTATAAGAAATCAAACAAATTCAACATTTTCTGTTGAACTGGATGAAGTTTAACATCTTTGATTGAAATCAAAATATAATAAAACATTGAATTGTTATTTTGATTAGTGATGAGATACGCTCCATGCAATTAAATTTTTGTTCATAAAAGCAGAAAATGGTTTGCTTTCCAGTTTTAATTAAAATCTCAACTTTAGCTTAAACATACATTATGCAAGAGCTAAATCTGTCTATTGCAGGTCCTTTTTTAGGCCTGAAATGTTATATAAACTATTAATTAGACATTTATTAACTAAACAAGACCATAATTAACTCATGATGGCATCGGATACTTGAGATTTTAACTAGGTTAGAAAGGTTTGCCATTTAAAAATGGGAAAGCGCGACTAAGACTCGAATATAACAGCGCCCTGGTTACTTACCACAATGCACACATCTTGTCAAAACTACCAAAAGTGGTAACTTGGCTCAGAATTGGTTAATTTGAATGAAATTTTCAATATTTTCATCTTACATTATCTATTTTTGAGCCATTATAGCAAGAATGGTTAGCTCTTTATCTAAATCTTACATAATGTCTCTTTAAACTACAGACCTAAAATTTTTAATGTGGACGGATATTTACTGCTTTTTTAAATCAATTTAATATGATTCAGAAATTTTGTTGGTTTTCTTTTAAATAATCAATTAAAACCATCTTTTACAGGAATCATAGAACCGGTGGTGTCTGTATTAATCCATCCAAGTCATGCTGCCCGTCTAGCAGCTTCATGGTGTCTGGGTAGTATAGCTGTAGCACTACCATCACAGTTGTCACCTTTGCTAGACAGATGTATGGAGAGAATGGAGAAGTTAAAATCATCACCAGAAGCTGTATCTGGTTATAGTAGTGCTCTAGCTGCTTTACTAGGCGGTGTTCATCAATGTCCACTTGGTATACCACATGCCAAGGGAAAGGTAAAAACAGAATTGTATCATTCGTGCTTGCAAGTTGGAAATTTAATGTTTGGATCTTGGGGTGTTACACTAAACTTGTGGGTGAAAGTGAAAAACAACCGTTCTCCATATAAGAATTCCAATCTGTATTACTCAAAAGGCAGAAGAACTACAACATAAGGGCAATAACTTATATCCACTTAAACATAGGTTTATGACATTACTAAGTTGAGTTTCAGAAAGATCTGTACTGCTGTCAATGTAATCAAACCATGGCCATTATGAAAATCAGACTTTTCTTTGAAATGGCCACAAAGCTGAAATTCTTGCCGATGAAAGTGGGGAAAATAATTCAAAAACAATTGTTTCCTCTTCTTTTTCAAAAGTTTTTAGTTCTGCAATTTTAAGTTTTTAAATTTTAAACAAACAAATTGTTTAAGGACCTCGAATGATTATTTATTGATAAAGACCTTTGAGAAATAAAGATCATTTCGGTTTGACCTCAAAGTCAAATAAAATTTATAATAGAAAGTGTATGAATACGACACTAAGATCAAGATGTCAAAGTGAATTAAGACACTAATTAAAATATTGTCTTTTTTTTTCAGTTAATATTTGCGATAGCTGAAGAACTACTTCGTACAGCTTCTCAGAACAGTCGTCTGTCCCTACAGAGAACACAATCAGGCTGGTTATTGTTAGGAGCATTGATGACTTTAGGTTAGTTATCTACCATTATAGTCATTTAGAGTAACGATATGTCAAATCTTTGCATACTGATCAAATATAATATGTTTAATGGTCGAGGGGTTGGGGGCGAATGGTTAGCGTGTGCACCTTGTATCATAAGGCTTGTCATTGAGTCAACTGGCGTGGTTTTGATTCCCCGGTTGTACATGACAAAGAGTAAGGTTTCCTGTCCAACATCATGAGTTTTCTTCGGGTCCTTCGGTTTCCGCTTACTGCTAAAGACCCCAACGTACAAGTGAATTGAAATAAAATTGAACCATATGTTAGTCCCAAAATGAGCTGGTTTGTGTCGAGTGGACGTTAAACCCCATATCTCTCTCTCTTTAATGATAATGAGCGAAACATTAAGTAACATATTGATACTTCACAATATAATGGTAGGCGAACATTAAAGGATATGGTCACATTTGTATTTTAAGACCATTTAAAGCTTGCTTTCTCAGATAAGCGTTTGAAAAACACATTACAGTTAGTCAGTCACCACAATAACGTTTGTTTACATTTAACGATGTTATAGAGAGATAAAAACAAGGGATATTATTTGAGAGTGTTTTATATAATAAAGCTTAAAAGTTTTAGATCTTCTAAATAAATACTAAGCAATTACTATTATTATTCACAGCAAAATATTCTGACTGGCATTAAGCTTATTGCTACTTTAAAAAAAAACCTGTTAGAAATCAATATTATTCATTGCGTAATAGTAGAGATAAGGATTAATAGTTTAGATACATATTTGTATCAGAGATTAAGATTAGAATGTCTTTGTTAATATTAAAAATCAAATAAGTTTAAATTTCTTTGAAATTACCAGTTCTGTATGAGCACAATTGAGTATTTTCATTAATTAAAATCTAAATGTTTCTTTTAAAAGATTAAGCCATTAAATTATTTCTATCTGAGATAAATATTGGATGTTTTTGTTGATATGTGATTAGATTTCAATGAAATGGTTTAATACTGTTCAATAATTTATGGATTTTAAGATTGAAATTGCTTTTGATAATGAATTTATTATCCCACATTATCCCTTCTGTCTCAGAGCCACGGTGGCTAAGTGGGTAAGACACTGGCTCACTAACCTTGAGGTCTGGTGTTCGATCCCTGCATTGGCCTAGAAAGTTCATTGGGTTTTTCCGACGTGGTTTCCCCTTGTCAGTGGTGCAGGACGGAGGGCCTGACAAGGACAGCTGTCTAGTCATTCAGATGGGACGAAAAACCGAGGTCCCCTGTATACATTCGCATGCACGTAAAAAATCCCTTGGCAGTTGGAATTCGATATAAGAGTAGGCCATTTTGCTGCTGCCCGGACAAAATTTCTCTCATACCATAACACACTGTATGGAATATGCCCGTCTTCATTAGCACAGGTGGAGAAGAACAGTAGGACGTTAAACCCCATTTCATCTCATTTCATTTCCCCTTCTGTCTCGGTATTGTTCCCAGTGTATATCTAATAGAGCATTAAAGCTATGCTACCTTGATGATATTTTGTACACACAACTTGTTATCCATTCAGTTGGACTTGATAATGGTTGTCTCTTGCAATGTCTATGTAGTTTGTCTTGTCCACAGGTTTGTCTGTCAGTTTTATTTTGTATCTAGTGCGGTCGTCCTGCTTTTGTCTTACTATTATAGTAGTTGTGCCTTTTGCTATGGAACAAATTTAATTAATTTGTTCAGGATTGTGGAATATTGATGTCTACATTGTTTTACAGCACAGTGTATGATTTTATGATATGTTACCCAATAATTGTGATATGCTATATATTACCCATTTTTTTAAAAAAAAATTTTAAAAACAATAATTTTATTCAGGTTGTCTGAATGGGATTTGGGAACAGGCTTAGCCTATGTAAAACCCCTCTCCCAATAATTGTGATATGCTATATGTTACCCAATAATTGTGATATGCTATATGTTACCCAATAGTTGTGATGTACTAAATGTTACCCAATAATTGTGATATGCTATATGTTACGCTATAATTGTGAAATTTTATATTGATTTTAGGTACCCCTGTGATACGAAATCATTTACCAAGAATGTTATTGCTGTGGCGTAATGCATTCCCTCGATCAACACGTGAACTTGAATCTGAGAAAGTACGAGGAGATGCCTTCACCTGGCAAGTGACGTTAGAGGGTCGAGCAGGAGCATTAGGAGGTTTGTTTGTTGTTATCCATTATATAGCATTGATTCAGTCATCTGTCTAGTTATTCAGATGAGATGAAAATCTTCATCTGTCTAGTTATTCGGATGAGATAAAAAATTTGGGTCCTGTATACACTTTGGTGTACACTTAAAAGTACCTTGCAAGGCATATGCCCGTCTTCTTTAGCCTGGTTAGTGCAGAAAAACTGGACGTTAAAACCTATTCTATTTACATACTTTCATTTGTTGATTCTTGAAGGGGGTTGGTTGGCCGAATGGTTAGCACGTGCGTGCTGTATCATAAGGCCTGTCATTGAGTCAACTGGCATGGTTTCGAATCCCTGGTTGTACGTGACAAGGAGTACTGTCGCCTGTCCAGCCTTGTGGGTTTTTTCCGGATACTCCAGTTTCCTCCCACTGCTAAAGACCCCTACGCACAAGCAAATTATTGAAATAAATTAAACCATATGTTAGTCCCAAAATAACCTAGTTTGTGTCTAGTGGATGTTAAACTCTCTATCTCTCACTGACACTCGATTTCAAATCAGCTATAAACATAGGATAGACAAAGTAATTTATTGAATTTCTATATAAAAGAGATCAATATTAATATCAATACCATTTACAGTGTCTGAGATTATTAATATTAATTCTATATTTATTTACTTCAGCCATGCAGAGTTTCCTGTTACATTGTCGTGAATTAGTGACTGAAGATGTTATCCGTCGTTTATTAGCTCCATTAGATTGTGCTCTATTGATGTTATCACAGTAAGTATTAGTCTCATATTGTAATCTAGTCATTAATTGAATTCATTTGTAACTGGTTGTAATTGAGAACAAATTTGTATTGAATTTAGTTGTAATTGGCAACAAATGTAATTGGCAACACACATTTGTATGGAATTCAGCTGTAAGAGGTTGTAATTGGGAACAAATCTGTATGGAATTCAGTTGTAACAGTTTGAAATTCAGAACAAATCTGTATTGAATTCATTTGTAACTGGTTGTAATTGGGAACAATTGTATTGAATTTAGTAGTAAAAAGTTCTGATTGGGAACTAGTTTGTATTGAATGAATGAATGAATGAAATTGTATTAAACTGTATGTCAACATCAAAAAGGTTATATTGAAGCAAAACAAATTTGTTGACTATTTGAAAACATCAATATTTTGATTTAAATGTAAAAACTATTTATTTATATGATTATTATTATTAATGAATGACTTATTTTATACAAGTTGCCAAGTGCTATTATTAATGAATGACTTGTTTTATACAAGTTGCCAAGTGTTATTATTAATGAATGACTTATTTTATACAAGTTGCCAAGTGTTATTATTAATGAATGACTTGTTTTATACAAGTTGCCAAGTGTTATTAGTAATGAATGACTTGTTTTATACAGGTTGCCAAGTGTTATTATTAATGAATGACTTGTTTTATACAGGTTGCCAAGTGTTATTATTAATGAATGACTTGTTTTATACAGATTGCCAAGTGTTATTAAGTTATATGGAAGTCATCTAAAGGCTAGTACAGCTATGGTTAGATTACGATTATATGATGTTCTTACTTTATTACCACCAGAATCATTTGACGGTAAGTAATCACTAACTTTATTACCACCAGAATGATTTGATAGTAAGTAATAACTACCTTTATTACCACCAGAATCATTTGATAGTAAGTAATAAATAACTTTATTACCACCAGAATTATTTGATGGTAAGTAATCACTAACTTTATTACCACCGGAATCATTTGATGGTAAGTAATCAATAACTTTATTACCACCAGAATTATTTGATGGTAAGTAATCACAATAACTTTATTACCATTAGAATCATTTGATGGTAAGTAATCAATAACTTTATTACCACCAGAATTATTTGATGGTAAGTAATCACAATAACTTTATTATCATTAGAATCATTTGATGGTAAGTAATAAATAACTTTATTACCATTAGAATCAATTGATGGTAAGTAATCAATAACTTTATTACCACCAGAATTATTTGATGGTAAGTAATCACAATAACTTTATTATCATTAGAATCATTTGATGGTAAGTAATAAATAACTTTATTACCATTAGAATCAATTGATGGTAAGTAATCACTAACTTTATTACCACCAGAATCATTTGATGGTAAGTAATCAATAACTTTATAACCACCAGAATTATTTGATGGTAAGTAATCACTAATTTTATTACCACAGTAGCACGTTGGTATTCGAAGAAGAGTGGATGGAAACACTGCTACAAGGCAAAATTCTCCACCTCACATTGCACACGTGACCATTGAAATAAACATACCATGTGTTAGTTTTTAAATGACCGAAGTATTGTGTTGACGAGACAATAAACCACATTCCATTTATTATTCACCAGTGGTTGACCCGAGTTACCCCTATACACCAAATTTCAGCCTCGGGACAGCACTGGTGTATACGTAGCTCCCAACCCTGAACAGAGTATAGATATGACTATCACACATCGCAAACAAATTTTTTAATTAATCATTTCTTTTGTTATAGCTATGTATCCTAGTCTGCTCCGAGAACTTGTGGGAGAATTTACGTTAACGGATAACCCAGCAAACACAACTACGTCAATGCTACGTTCAATGTGTCACGTTGATGATAGTGTTATACTTGGATCGTGGTTACAGGAAACGGATCACAAGGCCATCGAGGACCAGGTATTATTGGATCTGTATTTCAGCATGTCTTTAACCTCTTGTATTATTATTGGTTAATAGTTTTATTTCAATTAACGTGGCTAATGATTCGATTACTGGGTGCTTATAATTAGTTCCATATTTATAGCTACAGAGATATACCTTGTTCTAAGTCCTAGAAAAGTAGAGATATTGGAAAGAATGCACTCACATTATTGTTTTAAATTTAAATATACTCTGAGGTTTTTAAAAAAATATCATGCCATAATAGTTTAAAAATAAAGACGTCAACAAAAAGAATAGGAATACATGCAAATAACCATCAGTGGCTTAAAGATACATTATGGGAGATAAGATAAAGAGATGGCAGTTCTCGCTATTATAGTTAAAAACTAGATAGTGTAAAGGTATTTTGCTGAAAATTTCAGTCAAATTGATCCACTATGAGCCGAGAAAGAAGCGTGTGAAATTTTTGCATAGTCTCGGTCATCATTACTAAAATCATTAATATAAACAGCATAGTCTCGATTATCCACTTTTTCTGATTTAATTATCAACGGCCGTTAGTGGCATATAGGAATCTAATCCAGCCAACATCGAAGGCTAGCCTTGACATCTAGAGTTTATTATGGTCTGGATAAGTTAATTAATGTCTAATTGATAATTTAGATAACATTTCAGGCCAAAAGAAAGACTTGTAATAAGCAGATTTTGCTCTTGCATAATGTATGTTTAAAATAAATTATCTCTTGTCTATGCAGGTATTTGCTGGATTAGTATTTTGAAAATCCAGCTATGTACAAGTTATGGCATGATGTTATGAGTATCTTAAGACTCTAACCATAATTCCAAATTCTAATTTTTCTGGGATTTTTGAGTTATAATTAAAATTTGAACTAGGACAATTTAGACAGATCAATTATTATATGCATCGTTCAAAGTTAATAATAGAAAATAGATTTTTTCGAGAATATTATTAGATTTATTTCAAGTTCTAGGAAGAATTGAATATTTGGTAATCCTTATTCTTCTGAATTAAGTGTATCAAATATTTCAGTCTCATTTCAAAGTGATATTTTTTTTCCCACTTTTTTGGTCCATTTATATACTACTTGCCCAATTTTCTTTTTATGATCGACTGGTCATCTCCCGTTGGTCAGCCAAATCATCAATTCTTTAAAATTGTTCTAAATTTAAACACTGTGGTTGGACAGTTATTGGCATACAACATCAAATTGTTAAAATAAATTCTAAATTTTAACACTATGGCTGGACATTTGTTGGCATACAATATCAAATCGTTAAAAATTGTTCTAAATTTTAACACTCTGTCTGGACATTTGTTAGCGTACAGCACCAAATTGTTAAAAATTGTTCTAAATTTTAACACTCTGTCTGGACATTTGTTAGCGTACAGCACCAAATTGTTAAAAATTGTTCTAAATTGAAACACTGCAGGCTGTTTTGCCCATACAGTTAGGCTACATTAATATCACCCATAAAAGTACAATTATGGACAAGAGATTGATGAGGTTAGATGATTATTGATGAAGAATTCGTTGATCATGGAATAGATAAAGAGGCATGTAAAATAAGACCATACTGTATGCTTTTCTCTTCTGTCGCTTTCATTCAAAATATAATTCTAAGATGTTGAAATTAATACAAACTTGAATTATTTCAAGAAAGTAAAATTGTTAATTGACTGGTTGAGAAATAACGTAGATTGGTTTGTGCATACATTGTTTTAAAATGTCTGATTATAGATTGAACCAAATCGTAGGGTGGATAAAGAAGTTGTAAGTATTACGGAATGAACAACAAAATAGATATCATTTTTGATTGTATTGCGGCTATGTTAAGATTTGCCATCTTCACAATGTAATTGTATGACAAACTTTGGATACCTTGGCTGAATTAGCTGACTTAAGATCTTGATAGCTGATATTATTGTACACTTGGATGAAAAGAATTTAAACAGATTTAAGGTATACATCTAGTGATCCACAGCTGATATTATGGTACACTTGAATAGAAATAATTCAGATAATATTAAAAAAAGGTTTGGTCACAAGTCTAGTTCTCTGGGTATAATGATTTGTAAGATGTAACATGGTGCAATTAATAAGCTGCATTCAGATCAAATTTTGCCAACCAGTCAATAATTCACCTACTGGTAAAACAGTTTATTCAAGGAATATAACTGTTTTTAGCATTATCCCAATTTATAAATTTTTAGGTATATAACTGTATTTACTCTATTTTAAAGTTAAATTCTTTAAAATCATAATCTTATGGCATTATGTGAAAACTGACATTTGTCTGAAACGAGAGCCCAGATTCACAATATTTCAGCTAACATAGTCAAGGTATCTGAAGTTTGTTATAAACCATAATATTGTGAAGATGAGAATTGCATGTTTTTGATCCCATTTCCATTTACTCTAATGTTTGCCAGCATTACTTGAATTTTGAAACAAATTTACAACCAATGAAAAACATGTAGCACTAATCTGTAGAGCCGTATATTTAATTCCTTCAAAGGTTTTTGGATGTTAGTATCTTAGAATTCTTGGTAATGTATAATGTACACAAAGCTCTGAAATGAGACTGAAATTTTATGTAATCTTTATTTTTTTCCAGTGAATTGAAGTGACGTTTCTTGTCTTTAATTGCTTTGTTAATTTTTTTTTCTTTCTTTCTTAATTTAAAACTTTTCCTAATTTCGAAATTTCATAAATAAAACTAAACAAATATTTCAAGTTGACCTGAGAGGTGGTCTTGAGATGCATTTTGTAACACTAAAACTAACAATGAAGATACATTTCGTTCTTGCACAGTCTTTTGCTAAATGTGTGATTTTTACGTATTAACAGGAGTATGAAGCATGCCATTACTCAATTTAAGTCATTTTACCTTGGTTCATAAAACAGAGAATTATTGTTACCTCCTGCTGTCGAGAAACTGTTGATAAATTAGAACGAAGTTAAGATTTTCTTTGAGCCCTTACCTACTATGTCGCAAGAAACTTATCAGCAATTAGAACAGAGCTTATGGAAAAACTTAAATCTTCTAAAATTATTTATAGGTAGTAATCCTAAAATGTGACAAAACTGTATTCATAGTATGTAACCAGTTGATAAGACGCCACTGCACGAAACACAGCCTGGATTTATCCTTTATACCTCTAAACAGTCTTGTCAGGTTCTTTTCTTGAGAAAAACTACATACACCTTCCTACCCCTAACCATATCACAGGGTTTCAATCTCGACTGCATTGTACTTGGTATTCTGCCACCCAAATATTGTACTTTTAGTAAGGGGCTACGTCGTCGCAGTCTTGGAGTATGTCCTCTTAACATCAATTTGATTTTAAAAATGTTGGCTCACAAATTCTACCAAATGCTGATTGTAAATTGTTTTTTAGAGGGTAAGATTTTAGTGTTTTCAAGACCAATGTTTAATAATGATACTGTCGAGAATGAGGTGAAAGAAAAACAAAACGTTACATAAATATTCTGTCTGTCTATTTTCAGTTACAACCAAACAGTGCATCTGGTTCAGGAGCTTTAGAACATGATTCACAGTCATTATACGCAAAATGTCCTGCTGTAAGTATTAATACTTGACCCTTGAGATATTTAAAAGTCGGGGATCACGGTGGCTTAGTGGGTAAGGCGCTGGCTCGCTAGCCTGGAGGTTGGGTGTTCGATCCCTGCATTGGCCGAGAAAGTTCATCCCGATTTTCCGGCGTGGTTCCCCCTTGTCAGGGATGCAGGACGGAGGGCCTGACAAAGACAGCTGTCTAGTCATTCGGATGAGACAAAAAACCGAGGTCCCGTGTACACATTGGCGTGCACGTAAAAGATCCCTTGACAGTTGGAATTCGATATAAGAGTAGGCTGTAGTGCCGCTGTCCGGGCAAAATTTCCCTCATAGCACACTGTATGGCGTATGCCCGTCTTCATTAGCCCAGTTCGGAGCAAAACAGTAGGACGTTAAACCCCATTTCATTTCATTTCATTTCATATTTAAAAGTCAATCAATTAGCCAGTTAATTTTGGACCCGGAACTGGTCGCTAACACTACTCATCTTGTTCTTGGGGTGACGCTCTTAGAAAAAGCCTAAGGCTCTGTCAATTCAAGTCTGATCGACATGAAAATTGGCAAGCTTCTTTGAACAATTCTACATTGATTTGGCGAATTAGATTTTTGAATTTCATCCAACAATATGGTCAACTCCTTATTTTTCGGAAAGACCTTTTAAAATTTTACTTCCTATATCGTGATGAGAAAAAATACATTCATTGAAGCATGACATTTAAAAACAAAAAGTACTTGGTTGCTCATCTCAAAAACTTTCAGTTCAAAATTTAAGTGTGAAATTTTAAGGGGGGTAGTGAATGGTTGAAGCATAAGATTTGCATCATAAGGTCTGTCATTGAGTCACGTGGCTTGGTTTCAATACACCACTTGTGCGTGACATGGAGTAGGGTCACCTGTCCAACCTCGTGGGTTTTCTCTTTGTCCTCTGGTTTCCTTCCGGTTTGCTCAAGACCCCTACGCGCAAGCGAATAATTGAAATAGAATTGAACCATATGTTAGTTCCGAAATGACCTAGTTTGTGTCGAGTGGATGTTAAGCTCTCTCTCTCTCTCTCTCTCTCTCTCTCTCTCTCTCTCTCTCTCTCTCTGAAAAACCGAGGTCCCGTGTACACATTGGCGTGCACGTAAAAGATCCCTTGGCAGTTGGAATTCGATATAAGAGTAGGCCGTAGCACCGCTGTCCGGGCAAAATTTCCCTCATAGCACACTGTATGGCGTATGCCCGTCTTCATTAGGCCAGTTTAGGAGCAGAACAGTAAGACGTTAAACCCCATTTCATTTCATTTCGTTCCATAGCTTCATATTTCCCGCATCAAAGGGAAGTAACCTTTTGGAAGGATTGTCTGTGAACCAGAATATTCTTTTTGTATGGTCTTATTAAAACATTTGATAATCATGTGTTTTATTTGTGTTTCAGGGAGAACCTATACCTGGTCCCTTACCACTAGGTGTCGCTGTTATTGACAGTTCCGTGAAATTATATGGTTTAATATTTCCCCGTGTAGCGTTTAAACACCGTCTACAGATGTTACAACATTTCAATGAGTGTATAAAACAAGCTAAGTCTGTCCGACAACAGGCCGTACAGATGAACATCTTCTCAGCTGTTTTATGTGCTCTTAAGGTAACACTTTATTAATTTTTTTCCTGTTATTTAAGACAAAATATATTATTATTATTATTATGGTGTATATTTTGCCGAGGTGACAAAAGGGCGTAATCATTGGGAAGGTACGACAAACAGGGGTCATGGGTGCTATTTATTAAATGGCATCAGAGATCACTTTGCTGTTTTGATTCTCCAGGAAAATATGTAGGTAATTCTTTCACTAAGTCTATGAATTATGGCCCTCGATGACTTAAACAATTAATGTTGGTTAAAGTTATCGTCCAATTGATTTGAAATTTATATATTAGGCCAAAAAAGGGCTGTTATTTTAATGATTGCCGATAATTGCTGTACCTTGTAATTACATCCATTTCCTACAAAAGAATAAAAATGTGACAACCTTTATTGATTACTTCGATGACTTAGCTTTTGTGTGTGTGTATATGTGTTTCTGCCTGGCAACCTATTTTTACTGAATGCTTGTATTATTATTTACAGAGTTTATCAGAAAATAAGGCTAATCTAGGACCAGATGATGTGAAAAAAGCTGCCTTTTCTCTTATTATGGTAAGTTTTGTTTTAAATTTAATAGAAATTTTGGTCTGTCTGAAAGAAATAATAAACATAAACATTTCTAGAAAACATAGATTTTGTTTATTTTTGTATCTGAATAATCAGCAATTGCCATTTTATGCCTGTTTCTCCTGGACAATGCTAACTAATGAGGCTGAAACCTTTGATCTCCGAGTCATATTGTCAAGTGTCTACCCTGGAGGTGAGTTTGCTAATTAGGTGTTCTATGTCTATTTTTCAGGGAGCTTTAAGCAACTCTAATCCTATTTTGCGTTGTGCATCCGGTGAGGCTTTAGGTAGAATGGCTCAAGTTGTAGGTGATAGTAGGTTTATAGCTGAAATGGCACAATATAGTTTTGACAAGTAAGAATATATATTTTTTTTAAAGTTATCGATAAGAAATTAATTGTTAGAATCGTTGATCATATTGACAGATGAGAGTTGTATACAATCAGTTGGGGGATTGGATGGCCGAATGGTTAGCACGTGCACGCTATATCATAAGGTCTGTCATTGAGTCAACTGGCGTGGTTTCGATTCAACGGTTGTATGTGACAAGGAGTAGGGTCGCCTGTCCAACCTTGTGGGTTTTCACCAGGTCCTCCGGTTTCCTACCATTTCTGAAGATCCCTACGCGCCTGCGAATTATTAAAATAAAATTGAACCATATGTTAGTCCCAAAATGACCTAATTTTTGTCGAGTGGACGTTAAAACCCATTTCTCTCTCTATATATAAAATCAGTTATTGTTCGATTAGAATATTTTTACAATTATCACCAAATGTGTCGTTGAAATTCGAGGAAGAGCAGGTGGAAACGCTGCTTATCAAGCAAAATGTCACTCAGAGATGCCATTCTTTATTATCATCAGCCACGTTGGCTAAGTGAGTAAAATGCTGGCTCACTAGTCTGGAGGTCGCGGGTTCACTCACGGTGATGGGACAAAAAAACGAGGTCTTGTGTACACATTGACGTGCATGTAAAAGATCCCTTGGCAGTTGGAAATCTATATATGAGTAGGCCGTAGCGACACTGTCCCAGCAAAATTTCCCTCGTAGCACACTGTAAGGTGTATGCCCGTCTTAATTAGCCCAGTCGGAGTAGGATGTTAAACCTCATTTCATTTCATTTCTTTATTAGCAGAAAAGTAGGACGTAAAAAACCCATTTCATGTTGTAATTGTTATGTTTCAGATTAAAGTCTGCTAGAGATGTTGTGAGTAGAACTGGTCATTCTCTAGCGTTGGGTTGTTTACATCGGTATGTTGGAGGTATGGGATCAGGTCAACATCTGAATACAAGTGTCAGCATATTACTCGCTCTAGCTAAAGATTTTAACTCTCCCGTTGTACAGGTAATTATAATAATCTTATTCAAATATTTAAGGGAGAGGGGTTGTTGGTGGTGGGTGTTGGTGGTGATGGGGGGGGGTGTCCAGGTATTTTAGTCACAAAATTTTGTCTTTCTCACTAGAACTTACATATGGAATAACAATTACTGGATTATGAAGCTAATCATAACTTTTGGGTAAAACTATCGGTTTTTTTTTAAATCTAGAGTACCATCATCAAAACAAGGGGAAACCACCCCGAAAAATCTTGATGCACTTTCTCAGCCAACACTGGGAGCGAACCTGTGATCTCCACGCTAGCTGGCCAGCGTTTTACTCACTTAAGTACCATGGCTCCTACCAGGTTCTCAAGATTTTTAAATGAAAGCCATGATTCATTGTAAACCATTACAAATATGAAAATGAAGTTTCCATGATTGATAACAATGCATTGTATGTTTTAAAATATGTCTGACTAATCTTATTTTGTATTGATATTGCAGGTGTGGGCAATACATGCGTTGGCTTTGATAGCTGATTCTGGTGGTCCAATGTTTAGAAGTTACGTGGAACCAACTTTAGCCTTAGTATTACAGTTATTACTGACAGTCACGCCCTCTACCGTGGATGTACATCAATGTCTAGGAAAATGTCTCTCAGCTTTAATCACATCGATTGGTCCAGAATTACAAGGTAAAGATAGTTTTATAATATTTGATAATATTGTTGTGGGTTGGATGGCTGAATGATTAGCACTGGTCTGTCATTGAGTCAACTGGCGTGGTTTCGATTCCCCGGTTGTACGTTACAAGGAGTAGGGTTGCCTGTCCAACCTTGTGGGTTTTCTCCAGGTCCTCCTGTTTCCTCCGACTGCTAAAGACCCCCTATTGAAATAAAATTGAACCATGTGTTTGTCCTGAAATGACCTTGTTTGTAGGAAAAAAGTGGGTGACAACCTTCATTTGTTACGAACGATGTGAAATATTTTGTTAATACATATGCGTGTTTTCCTTTACTGATTTATAGACATCTTTTCTCTTTCAAATTCTTTACCATATTACCTGGCAGTAGGACCTTAAGATCACAGAACATGTCATTATTAGTTATTTCTATGTTACGGTCAAACTCCCAACAGACAAAACAATCTTTTCAACATGCAGCTCCTTTTCTATTTAATTTTCTACTCTTTGACATCAAAGGATCACATGTGATGGCCATCTTCAAGTCATAATTAAGTCCACATCTATTCCGCGAGAACACACAATAAAAGAATCCACATAAACTTAAACGTGCATAAAAAACTTTATGTGAAGTATTAATTGTTTGCACCATATAAATTCTGTTATTGAATGATATTCTTCTCCCTCGTATTTCAAATGTAACCAGTTGGTTTATTACCACACTTATACATGACTAGGAATAGGATCGCTATTATTACTGTGGGAGTTTCCTATGTGTTAGCATGATTTATTGATTCAGTGATATAAAATTATTCTGCAGTAAACAATAGGCCTTTTATTTCCATGTGAATTTCTTCTTGGGTAGTTGCAGAAAAATAGGACATTAAACCCCATTTTATTTGTGATCAGCATGGTTCATTGATTCAATGATATAAATGATTTAAACAATATTTTATTCAATCAATTTACAGAATTTATATGGTAAATTTAGGATACAATAACAAGCTTTATCAGATTATATACTGAATTTGGTTGTATTGTGTTATATTGTTGAATATTATAATTTTTTCTAGGCAATACAGCATCACTAGCTACAGCAAGGTTATATTGTATGGTGTGTTGTGCTATAATGTATGATCATCCTGATTCTCTAGTAGAAGCAGAAGCTATCACTTGTTTACAACAGTTACACATGTTCGCTCCCAGACATGTTAATCTGACTTCACTTGTACCACAACTCTGTGTAAGTTAATCTTTAAACTTTGTACCATAACTCTGTGTAAGTTAATCTTTAAACTTTGTACCACAACTCTATGTAAGTTAGCCTTTAAACTTTGTACTACAATTTGTGTAAGTTACTTTTAAACATTGTACCGTAACTCGTCTAAGTAATTCTTTAAACTCAATTTGTGCATTAAAATTAACAGTATTCATCATTCTGTCTCAGAAATGCTGCAGTCTAGGCAATTTCTCATCCCTACCACAACACAATAAAATTAACCACACATTAGTCTCAAGATAATCAAAGCATTATGTGGATAAATTGTTAAACTCAATTTCAAATTTGACAAGGAAATGTTTGCTTATGAATTTTTATTGGACATTTCCAGGATACATTAATGAGTTCTCACCTTTTATTAAGAAGAGCCGCCGTGGCATGTTTACGACAACTTGTGACTCGTGAAGCAAAAGACATCAGTGAACAAGCTTTAAAATTATCTGGCGAAGGAACAAACGGTAAAAAATGTGAATATATAACAGATAGTGGATTAGAAGGAACGTTATTTGGTATGTTAGATACAGAGATTGATGAACAGTTGGTATCAGACGTACAGGATACAATCGTTAGTTTACTACAGACGCTGGCTACTGCTAATTTATCAAGATGGATTAAACTATTGAAAGATGTCCTCTCGGCTTCTACGGGTAAGTTATAGACGTACCGTTTGATGGCAAATATACGGTAATCAGTCAAATTTTGTAACTTCGCAGAAAAATTGAAAAAAATAACATACCAATGAATTGTTAAATATAAATAAATATAGTGATTTTGTGTCTGTTTTTTTGGATAATTTTTGTGCAGAATTTGTTTTACTTTCAATTTTGTGATAATTGATGTGTTCTTCCATTGTTCTGTAAGAGTAGTTACTGAATTTTTGTCCTGTAAAACATCAGAAATTACTCTTTTTGAGGATTTTGAGTTTTGAAAGAGATGCTCTTGTACGTGACATGAAGTAGGGTCGCCTGTCCAACCTTGTGGGTTTTCTCTGGGTCCTCCAGTTTCCCCCCACTGCTAAAGACCCCTATGCGCAAGCGAATTATTGAAATAAAATTGAACCATATGTTAGTCACGAAATGACCTAGTTTGTGTCAAGTGGACGTTTGTTAAACTCCATTTATCTCTCTCTCTCTCTTCTTCAAAGGTAAGAATTAATATAAATCTTTGAAAAATGTTTTATTTATCAGATACAACAAGCGCAGGTACACAGGACGATGATGGTGGAGCAGGAGATAAAGATGATGATGATGATGAAAATGATGATGCCACATTTACCACTAGTACTGTAGACATCACTCATCCAGCCGTAGCACCAAGATGGCCGACCAGGGTATTCGCTGTGGAATGTTTGATGAAGATAATAATAGCTTGTGAAGAGGAGGATGTTCAATTTGATTTGGCCGGAGCTAAACAGTTAAAGGAAAAAACTGGCAATGGTAAGTAGGCCTAATAAAAGGCATAATTACCAATTAGGGTGAATATGAAGACAGTAATGCTATTCTGCACGCAGAGATCCATCTCCTTCATACTTCGAGAATAGATCTCTGCCCTAAATGACTGCCATACTAAAAATAGGTATACTGTTTTGTAATGCGGTTCTACTCCATTAATAAACTTTTTCAATTTTATTAAATGGAAGCTGAATAACTACTTTAACAAAATTCTCGAAGTATACTTAAAGTTTTCGACTAAAATCGTTGATTTGGGACTTAAAATGTCGGTCAACTAGCTTAATGTCTGTTCTCAAGGTCAACTAGCTATGTGTCTGTTCTCAAGCGGAGTTAACTGTAGACAGACAGCCTAAGTTTTGTATGCAGAAATGCAAAACACTTTGGTTGAATAAAGTTGAAGTTTACCAATAGTACACACAAGTTTGAACTTAAGATACCCTTCACAGATTTTGTCAAACACAAATTATCACACAACGTATTAAAATAAAAAAAGGTTGTCATAATTTGATTATTAAATGACAAAGTCTTTGTATCAGTGTCTACGTTCGCTTTCTTTGTATCAGTGTCTACGTTCTTTGTCTGCATCATTCTATGTCTACTTCCTCACTGGATACTATATCAAACAGCATGTATTAAATGCCTGTTTTATTCCTCCTATTCTCTTCATACTTATAAAAAAAGATGTACAGGACAAAGGAGTAAGTTACATGTAGCCTGTCCAACCTTGTGGGTTTTCTCTGGGTCCTCGATTTCCTTGCACGGCTAAAGACTATCACTCTCTTTCTCTTTCTCTCTCTCTCTCTCTCTCTCTCTCTCTCTCTCATCTCCTCTCTCTCTCTCCACTAGTGTAAATGGGGGAACTTTGAACATTTAACAACTTGACATTTCTAGAGAATAAGACATGGATTATATACAAAATGATTTAATATTGATTTTTAAAGATGGTCTACACATGTATATCTTTTATTGTTACTCTAGACTAATTTCCTATTTATTGTAACCCACTAGACTGATTCTTATTAATAAAATCTTCTTATCTTCTCTTTCAGGAAATTATCTAGCTCTCCATCTGTCGGATCTAATCCGAATGGCGTTTATATCGGCTACATCAGACAGTAATGAACTACGTCTGGCTGGTTTATCGGCTCTTGAGGTTAGTTTCTAGAGTTGATACATTAAGCTATTGATTTACACTTGGATTAAAATAATTTAGAAATAACCGATCTCCGGTACTATCAGTGTACAACAAACAGTATTTTCCAAGCCAGTCAGCTAATTTTCAAAATCAAAATGCACCTTGTTAATCTCTATTGATCAAAAAGGTTGTACTTGACAAGGAGTAGGGTCTTCCGGTTTCCACCCACTGCTAAAGACCCCTACACGCAAGCAAATTATTGAAAAAAAATTGAACCATGTCTTAGTCCTGAAATGACCTAGTTTGTGTCGTGTGGACATTAAACCCCATCCCCCTCTCTCACTATGTATGTATAGTTATTATTACCTGTCGAACATAATGATATATTTGTATGTGGATAGACAATTTAAAAAGTTAGGGTATTTTCATGGATGGGGGTGGTGATATTCGTCATCAATACATGCAACTAGGTAATGATATAAAATATATTAATAAAAATATGAGGATAGTGCTGGTCATATATGTAAGGATAAAAGTAAAATATATATTTCAAAACACTTTAAACATACATTATGCAAGAGCTAAATCTGTCTATTGCACGTCTTTCTTTAGTACTGATATGTTGTCTAGATTATTAATTAGACATTAATTAACTTATCCAGACCATAATCAACTCTTGATGTCATCGCTAGCCTGTGATATTTACTGGATTAGGATCCGATTTGCTACTGAACTTTCATTCATGATTAAATCATGAAATGGATAATCGGGACTATCTTTTCTATCGTACCGACTTTAAAATTCAATCGCTACATTCTCGATTCAGAATGGATCAATTTGACTAAAATTTTCAGCAAATTCCCTTTACATTATCTAGTTTTATAGTGAGAACTTCCAGCTCTTTATCTAATCTCCCATATTGTATCTTTAATGAGAGTCAAATTATATATAATATTTTTTAAGTATTAATTGTATTTTATTTTGTTTAACAGAAAGTAATAACCAGGTTTGCTTCTGTACCTGAACCAGAGTTTCCAGGTCATGTGATATTAGAACAATATCAGGCACAAGTTGGTGCTGCACTACGACCAGCATTTTCACCAGAAACACCATCTGATGTTACTGCTGCTGCTTGTGAGGTACCGTATTCATTTTAATGTTGTTGGGGGGGGGGGATTGCCGAATTGGTAGCACATGCACGCTGTATCATAAGGTCTGCCACTGAGTCAACTGGCAAGGAGTAGGGATCGCCTGTCCAACCTCATGGATTTTCTCCGGGTCCTCCGGTTTCCTCCCACTGCTAAAGACCCCTATTCACAAGCGAATTATTGAAATAAAATTGAACCATATGTTAGTCCCCAAATGACCTAGTTTGTGTCGATTGGACGTTAAACACCATTTCTCTCTCTCTAAAATTATATTTACTTGCTTTTACACATTAAAAATATAAATTCCACTGTATTTATTTTCAAATTCTTGGACATTCTAATATGACAGAGGAGGAGTTATGTCCATGCATCCATCCATTGTTGTGAATAAATAAATTATTTAAAAAATGTGAATATTTCAGGTTTGTAGTACGTGGATAGGAAGTGGTGTGGCTAGAGATTTAAATGATTTACGTCGAGTACATCAACTACTCGTATCATCTCTAGCTAAACTAAATACTGGTAAATCACACACACCTATATATAATGAAAGTGCTTCAACTATGGAGAAGTTGGCTGTGATACGAGCTTGGGCTGAGGTAATATTTTAAAAACATTTATATTCAGAATTATTTTCTGTTAACATCTTCATTGTTTCTAGGGAGGTTGGATGGCCGAATGATTAGCTTTGGTTAGCACGTCCGCGTTGTATCATAAGGTTTGTCATGGAGTCAAATGTTTCAACTGTCATGATTGGTTGATATATTTTTTATGCGGTCGGCACATGCTTTGTACTCCAAAATTCTCCTTTTCACTCGATTGACACTATTTTTGGAATTGAGAGAATTTAATTCATGAACGTTCAATCGAGTATCCCCAAAATCTTACCACATTGCTTGTAATCTAGGAGCCACAATGGTTTATTGAGTATGGAACTGGTTTACTAGACAGAGGTCACAGGTTCATTCTCAGTGTTGGTCGAGAAAGTTCCTCAGGATTTTTCAGTTCGATTTCCCTTGTAAGTGGTGAGGGACGAAGGGTCTGGCAAAGAAACGTGTCAATCGGATGGCATTAAAAATTGAGATCCACCTGTGTACATCTTGGTGTTCATGTAAAAGATCCCTTGTCAGTTCGGATTTCAACGAACAGTAGGAAATACTGCATTCCATGGGAAATTTCCTTGCATGGCGTATAGAACAGTCTTGATTAGCCTTGTTGGTGCAGAAAAGTAGGATGTTATAAACCCCATTTCATTTCATATTTATATATGACAAATTCAAGGTTGCAAGACTAACCCTTGTAGATTATCATTCTAAAGTTTCCAGTTATCTCCCTTATCTTGAATCTTCCATTGGCAGGACTCGTTAGACAATTTTGTCTTGTATTTATGTATTATTAGTGCTTAAAAATTGTACTTTTGCTCAAAAAATTACTGATTGCTGCCCTAAAAGAGGCATGTTGCCTGAAATAACTTCCCTCATACAAAGATTTAAATTTCAATTAAAAAACGTATTTTGTAGGTTTATATCGTTGCTGTAAATAAAGAAAAAGAAAAAACACAGAAACCCAAGTTAAAAACAGAAGATGAAGATGAGTACACAGAATATACCACAGAAAGTCTACTTAGTTTGGTACAACCAGAGTTAGCTGCCCTTAGTAATCATTGGTTTAACGCCCTGAAAGATCATGCTCTATTGGCTTTACCTTCAGGTAATTGTAAAAGATTTTAAATTTCACAGAGGGTTTTGTTGTTCAAGTCATCTACTGCATTACGTTGTCGATTTCGGCAATACTATATACTGGAAAACAACTGGAAAATACCTGAAAACACCATGTTATACTGAATATCGGAAAACACCGAAAAAACACTAAATACCGGAAAACACACTCAATACCGGAAAACACACTCAATAGGTAACAAAGAGCCTGGTTCTCTGTTTGCGGAGAGTTAGGGTTATTGTTAGGACTAGGGTTAGGTTTTTCCGGTGTTTTCCAGAGGACCAGGCTCTGAGTTTCCTATTTAGGATGTTTTCCGGTATTTAGTGTGTTTTCCGGTATTGAGTGTTTTTCCGGTGTTTTCCGGTACTCAGTATAACATGGTGTTTTCCGGGAGTTTTCCGGTGTTTTTCGTTTGTTTTTCGTTTGTTTTTCGGTGTTTTCCGGTATATAGTATAGCCCGTTGATTTCTGTCTACAAGAGGTGGAGAGCAATGGTGGTTGAATGAGGATGGATGTCGCTAGCTCACTAACTAGGATGTCCTGGGTTCGATCCTAGTGCCCCGGTTGTACGTGACAAGGAGTAGGGTCACCTGTCCAACCTCCTGGGTTTTCTCCGGTTTTCTCCCATTGCTAAAAACCCCTACTCGCAAGCGAATGATTGAAATAAAATTGAACCATGTGTTAGTCGTGAAATGACCTAGTTTGTGTCGAGTGGACGTTAAACCCCATTTCTCTCTCTCTCTCTCTCTCTCTCTCTCTCTCTCGATCGATCCTGGTGCTGACTGAGAAAGTTAATCCAGATCCGAAACTATCACATGAAGCATTGCTCGATGTTCCAGAAACAATTAGAAATTGAAATAGAAATTGGACCTTAACCCAGTTCCTCTCACTCTCTTGCTCTCTCCATTAAGGGTAAACATACATTGCCTCAAACATAACACTCAATTCTATGTGTGCAAAGTTTATTATCGAGGCAAAAATTTGAATGCATCGTAACCAGGGGCTTTTACACATTTTGTAAAATGAACAATTTCAGAGAAAACTTTAAAAACGTATGATTATCCAGTAAATATGTTTTGATATTATATTTCAGAATACTCAAGTCAGTTACCACCCGATGGCGGCGCTTTTTATCATCCAGACACAATAGAATCAACCAAACAACATTATAAAAAATCATGGCCTCCGATACTTTATGCTTTATCTCTGTGGTTAAATGAGAATAGTTTTGCGGAACTCAGTGGTAAATTAATTGGAGGGATGGGATCACAAGCTGTCAATCTACAACCAGCTAATGCACCTGCTAATATGAACCCAGAAGAACTTAATCAAGATAAACTTTATCTTATACTTGGTAAGCTGGCACTTCAATTTCCAACTGTTAGGGGATCTTTAATGCACTACCGTGGTCCACATTATGTTTAAATAAAGGCAGCCTACATGGATTCGATATAGTATTGAAATTCATGCGACCCACCCTGTCCACTTCATTCTAAAATTACGAAAGGCTAACACACCAGTTTGGAGTTTGAAAAATCAGTCTCTTTATATTAGTTAGCAATTAAATGGACACTGGTGAATTAGTATGTAATAGAATATATTTAAAAATAAATTATATTATGTTTTATATATATTTTTGTAGGTATTTGTATGGAGTCGTTATGTAGTCCGACATCCAGGTTAGCAGATGATACTGTAGGTCAGTGTCTGAGAGGTTTATATGCACTATTAGATACAAGATGGCCACGACAACAGTTAGCTGAAGATCCGGTACTTTGTAGAGAATTATTAAACGTAATGCACAGGTAATATATTTTCAGTAACTTACATTTTCACAGCCAAATATGGACACAAGAAAATGCCAACACTAAATCCAAAATCAAATTTAATCGCAATCTCTTAGCCACATGAACCAATCACTGTACAGCCGAGATGAGTTCATTGGCGATGCACTACAAATGTCTTATATACAAGTCGTTCTCAGAGACCCAGGTCACATTCCTTGACTTTCAACCCTGGGTCAATTAAGAATTTTTGCTGTCACAAATAAGGCATATGTTTGTCCTCCAATTGGTTTGTTTAATATATTCTAAGGCCTCTGATTAGTTTGTTTGGTATATAATAAGGCCTTTGATTGGTTTGTTATATAATAAGGCCTATTTTTGTGAAGAAAGTCCCTGATGGGTTTATGATTGGTTTGTTTGATATATGATAAGGTCTCTGATTGGTTTGTGAAGAAATTCTCTGATAGGTTTATGATTTTTATACAGGGTTATTTTAACAAGAGATGGTGTAGAATTACATACAATAGCTCTAGATGTTGTTAAACAAGTTGTATTAGCTGCTCAAGAATGTTTAGAAGCTGAAAAAACTGTATTAAAAGGTATGTATTTCTTTTTAATCAAATTCCATAATTACAACTAATTAATTCCTTACGATTAATACAGTAGACGGGTGGAAGATTGGATCTTAGTAATACAGTTTGGAGTTAAAAAGATATACAATTTCAAAAAATATATGTTAGTAGTGCCTTTTGATTTAACATCTGACAAACAGAAGCGTAGAGACAGGTTTCAGAATGATTCCTAACAGTGTTATAGAGAAGCCATATTTGGTGAAGTGGATAAGACGCTGGCTCACTAGCCTGGAGGTCGGGTGTTCGATCCCTGCATTGGCCGAGAAAGTTCTTCCAGAACTACACTGGCACGATTCCAACATGTCAGCTGTCAGTCGTTCGGATGAGATTAAAAAGCGATGTCCTGTGTACACATTGGCGTGCATGTAAAAAATCCCTTGACAGTTGGAATTCGATATAAGAGTAGGCTGTAGTGCCACTGTCCTGGCAAATTTCCCTCATAGCACACTGTATGGCGTATGCTCGTCTTTATTAGCCCAGTTCGGAGCAGAACAGTAGGACATTAAACCCATTTCATTTCATATTTTATAGTACCAGTAGTAAAAGATCTTAACATGAATATTCATGACCTTAGTATTTTTTTATTAATAATGGGTTGGCAGTTGTCTTTTCTACATCAAAATCTATAGCATGTTTATTGGTAATCATTCTTCAGTCGGCTAAATATCGCAGGCTAGCGATGCCATCGAGAGTTTATTATGGTTTGGATAAGTTAATTAATGTCTAATTAATAATTTAGATAACATACCAGGCCTAAAGAAAGACCTGCAATCGGCAGATTTAGCTCATCGTATCATGTACATGTCTTCGGCGCCACAATATCGTTACATTGTTTACGTTATGTTTACAGAAAAGGGTTTACAATCAACAGAGACCAGTACTGATTCTATGAGTATGACCGACAGTATTTACAGTATTGGTGAAGGAAGCGATTCGGGAGATATCTTACCAGAGAAATCCATTGTATTTGCTACGTTGGAGGTTTGTCTGTGTGTGATGGTCCGACAAGTTCCTGCGTTAAATCCGTCGGCACCTACTACCGGGTTCCAGATTCCCACCAATTTAAATAAATTAACTGATGAATCTATTTCACTGATGGGTTCATCTATAACAGTTATGTGTGGTCTTCCAACTCTGTGCACACCTCAAGGTAGGCATTTATCTTCTTTGATAAACATTAAGTAATTGAATATATTAACTCAAGGTACAATTTTTATGGATACACAATTACTAAGTTTATTACTCTGTGTGGCTTTTCTTCTGTGTTGGTTTAGTTGTAAATGGCCCCCTAATCAATGGTGTTCAGATTTCATTGTATTTCATTGTTATTTTTGTTGCATATTCTGTACACCATACACATATTTGTATTATTTCCTTGTCAAAGAGGAGTTGGTTAAACCCCATTAGTGTACACTTAAAAGTACCCTGCATAGTGTATACCTGTCATCATTATCCCAGTTGGTGTAGAAAAGTAGGACGTTCAACCCCATTCTATTTACACACTAGGGGGGTTAGGTGGGCGAATGCTTAACTTTTGTGCGTTGCATCAAGAGGTCTGTCATTGAGTAAGTGGCGTGGTTTCGATTCCCCAGTTGTATGTGACAAGGAGTAGGGTCACCTGTCCAACCTCGTGTGTTTTCTCCAGGTCCTCCAGTTTCCTCCCACTGATAAAGACCCCTGCGTGCAAGTGAATTAGTGAAATAAAATTGAACCATATGTTAGTTCGAAGTCACCTAGTTTGTGTCGAGTGGATGTTAAACCCCATTTTTCGCTTTTATTTCTTTATTATTATCTACTTTTATTTTACAGGAGGTATTTCTATTTTACCCACAATCCTTCATCTAACTGTAAACGCTATGAGAGAGATATGTTCAAGATCATCAGAGCGTAAATTTCCTGTATTTACTAATGCTGTTTTACAAGGTTTACAGTCTCTGTGTACGTCACCTCTCAGTGAAGTTGATGTTGTTCATTCTGAGTGGCAGAATATGATACAGAGTGCTTTAGCTACTATAATACACTATGGAAATCCAGGTAGGTGTATTTATACTGTTTCCAGCATCAAAGAGGTTTATTAAGGGACTTAAGTCCTGGTTAGGGTAATGACAATGGAATGTAATCATTTAAGCTGCACTTACATGATACAACCAATCCATCGGATGCAACATATTGGAGGACTGTTTAGACATTACAATGGTTCTATTCCTTGTATGAATAAAATGGCAGCAATAGACCTCATTGGGTATTGCATCAGTCCACTGGATGAGAATAGAACTGGTCCTATCCTATCAACAAACTGCCAATCCGACCATTTGTCTGATGAGTTGGTCGGATGCAACCGTTGCATAAGGTGGTTGTATGGATTGGTTGTATCATGTAAACGCGGCTTAACAATCTAAAACAAAACGTAAAATTACACTTTATTGCTAATACCAATATTTCCAACTCAAGAAGGCTTCAGACCACTATTCCTTAATAATATGAATAAGTTGGTTTAGTAAAGGAGTATATGACATTAACAATCTAAAACAAAACATAATGGTCAATTACTTTTCAATTACACAATATTTCCAACTAAGACGAGTGTTAATATGGCATCAAAGAAGTAAATGATGTATATTTGACACAGATCCAATGCATGAAAATTTAAAAAAATGGTGTTTTTAATTAATTTAAAGGTACCATAACATGTTAGTCCCAAAATGAGCTAGTTTGTGCTCTGTAGAGCATTCAACCCTAACCTCTACTACTTAACCTTCTGGGACTGTAGATTGTCTGCGATATCACCTCCGTGGAAGTCGACGTAAAATACAACTAACTCACACAAATACAGTGCAGTGGATGGCTGGCCCCTGGATCATTTCACTTGATTTAATTTGTTTATTTCCAGTTGGCAGGTTTGTCTTATCAGTTTTGTTTTGTGTGAAGTGCAGTCCTCCTGCACTTACTATTAAAGAATTACACCACAGTAGATGTGTAAAATTTGAATTATATGTGTATTTTTTTTACAGGAGATGATCATGCTGGCATTGATCTAGAGACCTTGTTATTAACATTGGCTGTATTTACACTGTCATGTCCTAAAGAGGTTACTGGTGTACAGAACTTACAGACTCCTACACTAGAAATATATAAACAGGCTTGGGCGTCAGATAATATAGAGGTAAACTTATTTATCATATTTTATATTACTATCTTCAGCTTTGTTTTAAACATACATTATGCAAGGGCTAAATCTTCCCATTGCAGGTCTTTCTTTAGGTCTTAGATGTTATCCAAATTATTAATTAGACATTAATTAACTTCTCCATCGATGCCATTGCTAGCCTGTGATATTTACTGGATTGGAATACATTTTGTGATGGATGATTTAACCTCAAAATGGACTTTAGATCATAAGGTCTAGGAATGGGGGGGGGGGGTATGAGTTTCTCTGGTTCTTTGGTTTCCTCCTACTGCTAAAGAACCTTGTGCCGAAGAGAATTATTGAAATAAAATGTACCATTTGTTCATCTCCAAATGACCTGTTGAATTATTGTTAAACCTGATCTCTCTCTCTCTCTCTCTCTCTCCTCTCCTTGGTGGTCTGGAACTTGTCACATTACTTATGGCAAATTTTATGTATTTTCTTTTCAGCTGAAAACGAAATGTGTGCAGACGGTTATTTCGATACTCCAGTTACAAGAAATAAAAATCTCCACACCATACATCCACGCATTATCACCGAAAATAATAGAATATTTATATACAATTTGTAATAAACGACCTAATACAGAAGCTGAACTTATATTAGTGATAGAAGCTATCAGAATGTTAGAAAATTTAATTTCTATGGCGGATGAAAAGAAACGTAAGTTTATCTGATTATAATTATCTTATATTATTGATCAGTTATAATCAAAGACCACGTCCTGTAGTATGATTTGGTTTCTGATAAATGAATGATCCCTTATTAATGTATGACTGATGCCTTATTTATGAATGACCGATCCCCTAATAATGAGTAAATGATACTAATAAATGAATGATTGATCGCTTATTGATGAATGACTGATCACTTATTGATGAATGACTGATCGCTTATTAATGAATGAATGATCCCTTATTAATAAATGAATGATCCCTTATTATTGAATGACTTATCCCTTATTAATGAATGACTGATCCCTTATTAATAAATGAATGATCCCTTATTAATGAATGAAAATGATCCCTTATTAATGAATGACTGATCGCTTATAAATGAATGACTGATCCCATCCAACTACAACATGCACAGTGGATCTGACTCAATCCACTTATTTCCCCGCGAGTACAAAGCTGGCTTACTAGCCAGAAGCTACCGTGTTGGTTACCCTATTTCTGCAGTGTATATATTCTAACAGTATAGGCAAGTACAGTAGCTCAAAGTTTCTGGTGTTGGCTCAGTAACCGAGAGGTCCTGGGATGGATCCTGTTGTAGACTGAGCAAGTTCCACAGTTTTACCTAAGATGGTTTCCCCTATTTCCACAGTAGCTCACTAACCGAGAAGTCCTGGGTTGGATCCTGTTGTAGACTGAGCAAGTTCCACAGTTTTACTTAAGATGGTTTCCCCTATTTCCACAGTAGCTCACTAACCGGGAGGTCCTGGGTTGGATCCCGTTGTAGACTGAGCAAGTTCCACAGTTTTACCTAAGATGGTTTCCCCTATTTCCACAGTAGCTCACTAACCGGGAGGTCCTGGGTTCGATTCCGTTGTAGACTGAGAAAATTACTCTGGATTGATCAGCCTTGTTTCCCATTGTTAGTGGTGCAGGACAGAAGACTTAATAATTGTGTTGACTGTATCAAGATCCCCTGTTGTTTGAAATCAAAATAAGAATAGGCTGCATGGTATCTGTCCGTCTTTATTAGACCAGTAAACAGATGATGGTTTCTTAGATTAATGCTAGTCTTCATTAAACAAGGTGTTCTTGGTCTCATCAATGCTACCAGACCTTGCAACATGGCACCCTAACGCTGAAAAATGTTGATGATTTCACTAAATCGGTTGAATTAATTTATTTTATGCTCAGGGACAACTGCTAATGATTTATTTTCTATTCTCATTGCCTAGAATTAAATTATTAGATAATATACTTTCACACTTTGTGTTTCAGGTGTGACCCTGGTGGCTCTACTAGTTCCCATTCTAGTATCATATCTATACGAGGAGAAACAAATAGACGCAGCAAGTAAAACATCGCAAGCCTTACATCAACAAGCTTTAACTAAACTCATGAAGATTGGACCCCAATATCCTGACGAATTCCGCACCGTCATGACTACTTACGCAGACTTAAAACCTCGCCTAGAAGCCGCCATTAAATTGAACGAAGCAACTAAATTAAAGAGAGCACAGCCTGTAGCTAAGAATCTAGCCCAACCTGCCAAGCCAACTATCACGTTAAAAACAAACTTTGCTAATTTTGCTGCAAGTTAATGCACGAAACTAATGGATTGTAAATAATTGTGTATTTATAATATCGTTATTAAGATATTAACATCTGATATTAAACTATTAGTGCTACTGATGTACAGTGTATATATATGTAATTGACTTTGAGTCTGGACCGAACAGCAACTGAGCGACGTGGAATGGGATTATGTCATTGTTTAATAATAATGATAATAATAATAATATCATCATTTTTAAAGGGCGTTAACACTGAAGATCGGTTTCTAAGGTGCTGTTGGCTGTTACATTCACTGATTATTTACAAATCAGGGTTTTGAAACAAGAATGTTTTGAGTTGAGATTTAAAACGGCCCACAGAAGTTAATTGTTTAGGATCCTGTCACTGTGTAAGTGTATAGGTAATCTATTTTGAATCCGGATCGTTCCAAAATTGACAGAACGACATGGTGTATGATCTTGTCACCGTTCTGTCAGTCCAAAATGTCTGATGTAGTCAGAGTAGAATCGTTGCTTAATGAAATAGTCTGAAATGTCTGATGTAGTCAGAGTAGACTCATTGCTTAATGAGATATTTTCTTATTGAGTCTTGTGCATTCTCCAGCAAATAATCTTGGGTACATATCAATGTTTGTTTTACAAATATAGATTAATTTATCAGTCATTACGGTCATTCTAGCTCACGATCTGTTTATGCTGTAGATTCATTGCACACCAAGGATTATTCTTTGACGGTTAGAGATTGTTAGATAAATTCTTAAAGTGTTATATAATTGTAATTTCTGGACTAAAGATGATCTAACTGTATGTATGTAATTTAATCAATGTACATATTTTTATAAAGTATATATATTTAGATAAATTCCCAATAATATGGCATTGCCAGTAGATTTAAACCAAGCTGGTCTGGTTCACTGTATAGTATTATATATAACTCCTTCCACCACCCCTGCCCTTATATGGTGATATGCACTGCTCTGGAATTAGCTGAAGTCCTACTTTATTTAAAAAATTATTGACTTTCAACAATTTGGATAAGCATTGTCAGAGTTATGGCCCTTCATGATCTTTTTACATGAAGATTCACATTGCGACAACAATTATTGATGGCTCGAACAACTTAGCTGCTGTGAGGATATGTTTCATTGCTTGGCAACCTCTTTTAAAAACTGAGAAATTCAAAGATCGATAAAAGTTTGACCTCAGCTGCAGCAGGAGCTGTGCAAATGGCCTTTAGATTCAGTGTAAAGATGTAACAATGCACAATATAATAATTAACGGTTGCACGATCAGCACTATTTTTATGTGATTAGTTTTTATGTACATAGATAGAATACAACTCTGTATATATATGTGTATATTTCATTCGATATTTTAAACTGCCCTGTGTTGTGTAATGAAATAATTCTATTGTGCTATATTGATCTAGTTAGCTCATATAGAGCTCATAAAATTAGTCAATGTCCCTCTAGATGTAAATACGCAATTAAAATTCATTCATATTGAATTTGAAGGCTTTTTTTTAGTGCTTTTGTAACTGTTTCATTGTTATAATTTTTAAGTTTTTTTTAATAGTTTTATCAGGCATTTGTTCAGAAGTTTTATAATGGTATTAAATATAGGCCTAGTTATATTATATATTCAATCGTATATAAAGTACAAGACTTAGGAGTGACCTTGACCTTTATCTATTCCCATATAAACTGTATATAGATATATATCAGACAGCAAAAAATTCAGAGGAGGAATCGAACCCATTCCATTTATAAAAGAGTGAAATAAAACATGTAGGCCTTGTTTGGTTGACTGTATAGGACTTAACGTTCTCTTCTACCGAGGCCTGTTTCTTACTGTGTTAAATAATAGAGACTAGCTCTGAAATTGAATAATGGCAATAATACTAAACCCTGTATTCTAAGCGACCTCTGGAGACAGTTTATCCTTGGGGTGAGGGGTGGGGAGCTCTAGCAAGTGGAATTCTGAAAGTGTGACATCATTTTCGCTGACTAAGTCGTCTGCCTTATCTCTAAATCCTGGTGACACAAGTCTAATTGTCGCTACTGCTAGTCTCTGGTTGAGTTATTGTACTACTACTACTACTAATTATTAATTCATTTATATAGTGCAACAAAATCCAGCCAATGGCTTCTCTAAGGCGCTTTCGAAAGCTTATACAATGAATGTATATTCCCTTAAGATAAAGTAAAAAATAAATTTATAAATTGTGGAAAAATCTTTATCAAAATTAATAATAGCCAAAATATTTATTTTTTCCATAATGCATTTAGTTTTTCCTCTAAGATATAAATTTACAAAAGGTGGAAAAATCTAATCAACAAAATATGTTTCTGTTGTTTTTGCTGTAACATATAAATTTACAAAACGTGGAAAAATATTTTGTGTTTTCCGTGCTGCTGTTCTTTTGTAAACATATGTATGTTATAAATATTTTTTATGATACTGTAAGTGTAGAGAAATGTGCATATCATAAAATTATTGTTATTTAGTTATTGTATAAATTAAAGTTACAAGCATATAACTATATATTACAAAATCCGGATTCTATATATGTTTTTTTTTTTTATTATCATTTGTTGTAATGTTATTCTGGTTAAAAATATCTGCTTTGTAATTCTGTTTGTTTTTAAAATAATTTAATTTAACATTGGTGATGAAAAATAAATATTTCTATCAAACGATTTTAGGTTTTTGTTTATTTATGAAATTAACTGACAGCAAATTGAAAGAAGTAGATTTTGTCTGGAGTACCAATACTTGGTATGTGGCTGATAGGGATCTAATGGACGGGGATCAGATTCTTGGCAGGCGATTTTAGATTCTTACAAATTTGTTAAATTAACTATCAGCAAAGCAGTCAATTTCTCTTTTTTCGATAATGCTAGTAACTACTTGGTTTCCGCCTGGTTGACTGGGATCAGTTTCTTGGCTGATTGACGATTAACCCAGTTGGTACAAGATCATCCGAATATTCAACAAAACATTATGGTATAGGCGAGAATTGTCATGGATTTAATCATGAAGTCAATGTGGAAAGAATTACTGTAAGAGCCCTGATGAACTAAGACTAGTAATTATTTCCCCTTATGTAGTGCAAGTTATTAATAGACAATTTTTCCCTTCATTTTTTTCTCTCCTCTTCCTGCATTTTTGGGTTGACTTTTTGGTCTAGAAATGGCGAAAAGGGATCAAATTTGCAATTTTCTAGCAGTTTTGGGTAATACTGATGATATTACATCGGAGGGATAGGGGTTGTGAAGTGTTTCTGCAGAGCAATCATTGTGTCGGAAGTGAGATTTTCACCCCAGTCAACATCAAATCCCCGTAGCAAAAAATTTCAACGGTCAACCCCCTACAAAATTATGATGTGGTCCCCACTGTGCCTATAAAGATTGGAACCAACGGAATGTTGAGCAAAAAGCTACAGCCTGTGATGTTACAGCCATTTAACATTGAAGTCAATGGGCAAATAATTGTTAGTCTGAGCCCATACCAAATAGGAGTTGTCTCCCGTTATCAAAGTTAGTCTAGAGTTGGCGTAGTGATATTATGATCGAAGTAGGCCACACATAATACTCTCAATAACCATATCATTTACAAAGTATCTGCATTACCAGTTTTGTTCAAATAATCTGTGATCAAAAAGGTAAACTTTAACATTAATAAACCTTTATTTAAAAACGAAAAGTTGCAACTTCTGCTATTTTCGTTGTCATGGCAATACGAGGAAGAATTGTCATTAGGTGTTGTTAGGTTCCATTGGCTCATAATAAATTTGACCGCAGGTGCTTGCATCGAATCTCGCATAATAATATTGTTTTGTGATATCTGTTCAAGAAGTTGAAGACAATGTCTAGAGAAAATTTATCGCAAGCAGAAGCCAGAAGATTGGGAGAGCAAAGAGAAACATGGTGCACTGTTGAGAGGCAAAAGGAACAAGATTGGTGCCGTCGAGAACGTAAACACAGCCCTGATCAATTTTCCAGCTGTGTTTTTAAAAGTTCAATATCACATGAACCAAGGTGTACGTTTCAAGTTAATGCACCAACGCATAAAGAACGAAAACACTATCAACAGCAATGTAAGTATTTCTTCTTAGAACTTAGCTTGGTCCAGACTATAAAATACAATTTTCTAAGCCACCCGCTGGTATTAAAGATATCTAGGCCCTAGTCTACTAAGACTAAACCGGTAGGCCTATCCTATGCCACATGTGGCAGGAATAAAAAGATTCCTAAATTGTGGGGCCTATGTCACATGCATGTGGCAGGAATAAAAAGATTCCTAAACCGGTATGTGGCAGTGGGGAGCAGGTCGTTTAATCCCAAAACCGTTTCACCCCATGTTGTTTCATCCATAAATTTTGGGGGGGTGGATGCAGGCCTTCACGTGAATAAATTCCTGGGGAGTCAAAAAAAGCTCTCCTGAAATTGAAAAAAGAGGAAATCGCTCTCCTGAGAAAGCTCTCCTGAATCTCTTGAGGAGAGCTTTGTTAGCATTTGTGATAAAGTCCAGAGATTTTAATCTATTTCGAAACCAACCGGCCAGAATTGGGTCAAGTGAGGTCCCGGTAAGAAACAGGGTAATTCGAAGCTCCCGTCAACTTTAATATCTGACTTCAACAAGTTCAAGTCAGTAATATTCCTGAATAGACTACTGTCTTCGTTTATCATCAGTCGATCGAAATTAGGATTTATCTACTACGGCGAAAATAAGCTGATGCGACAGTATGACATTTCTTCATATTTAAAACACAAATTAATGTTTTTGTCTATCACGTAACTTACAATATTTTTTTCATTCGTGGATGAAAGACAAGCCACACAATGATCACATGACTCCCATGATTGAAATTGCTTTATATAAAATAAAATTCCGTACGACTATGCCATGGCCTTAAATAAAAAGGGCAATATTTTTAAGAATAAATCCCTGTCAGCATGTGTAAAAAATAAAATTGAATAAAACTAAAACACTATTTAAAAATAAATCTTGCAATGCTGGTTTATTGTCCTAATTCCAACCAATGCATGTCACGTGTTATCGGGAATCTGAAAGCATTGAAGATCTTGACGGAAAAATATATTAGTTATTAATATTTGTTTCTCGGGATATCCGGTGTTCTATCAGGGATTATTCAATGAATATTTAAATTTAACTAACAAGGGGTCAGTGAAACCATAAAATGCATTATCCAATTATTATTTTCATATCTACCTAGAATTCGTACGGATCGAGAGTCGAAGACGGGGCGCGAAGCACGAGATTCACAATCCATGCGGAGCGAGATGTCTTCCTTCGCCACGTGGTTTATTATTACAAAGGAAACTTAGTGGACCTGTTATGAATAACCAGCAGGCTTGTTGGGGTTATTTTTGCCGAATTATCAAAATTACCGTTAAATGTGCTAATTACTCGGATTATGAAACGGATGGCGGATTCTCACTAAGGTATGCTGTTATTGTAGCCGACAAGCAAGTTGATTGTCGATATGATATTACCAGTATATTTTTCCTGATTATTCTCTTTGAGTAGGGCTATGAATGCAAAATTTATTTATTAATGGATTTATTTACAAATAAGCCTATTTGATAAA